TGAAGGAACTGAATGCAGAAATTCCGCCTGTTCCGATCGTCTTCGGAGCTTGACGCCGGCGCTATCAAGTTCTTGAAACATTCCGTAAGGTCCGAACGCTGCATAGCTACCCAACTGCCATGGCTCCTGGGAGTGAAGGAATTCGATCACTGACTTGCGCATCTGCTTGCCAGTCCGTTGTGCACCGGGAGCGAATGAAAGATCGAATCCACCAAATAGAAAAAGCAAGTCCACCGCGTGATGAGCTCCATTTGAGGGTTGCCAGGGATTGCACTCATCGACGAGATATCGATAGGCGGGTTTGTTTGCTGCCCTAAATAGGCGAGCAATTTTCTCCGCTGGGAGAAGAAATTTGTAGTCGTTCATGAAGTCCAATGCTCCTATCTTGGAAGAGGACCGTCTGTCAGCGTGAATGTTGTAGAGATTCTTGAGCGTGTCCTGACGTTCGCCGGCATAGTTGAAAGCCTGATCAATCTCAGAAGCTTCCATTTTCCAAATGCCCTCCCGCCAGAGAACGGCCTGTTTGTGAACGTTAATTGAAAGAAGCATAACTAGTTGGAGCCCAGGGGTTCACCACATACCTCGTCTTGAACATCACCTATCATCACGCTCTCCGCAGCCCCTATTGCCGTCTCCCACCCAACAAGAGAAGGATCCACCTGGAGGAACCACGAATGTATTCCAGCCAGTTCCATGGCCTTGACCAGATTTTCAACAGGGGCTGTGCTTAAGTCACAGTCACCCAGTGTACCAAGGTGATTCAGGAGTGTTTGGCGTAGAGCGGAAGCCTTTGGCCTTGGCTGAGGAGGAGAAAGGTACAGCGAGCCGGAAGACAGTAGGACTCTTCTCACTCGAAGGCCGGCCGCCAAGTGGGCGTGGCAGTATACCGCTCCAGCACTTTCTCCAGCCAGTGAGACATCATTCTACGGAAGCTCGTCAGTGGTTTCCCGCCTTTGGCTGATGGGAATGTGACTTATTACCGGGTCACCTCCAAAATCCGGAACGTGATCAGTGACCCATCTCAGAGCCAATGATTGATCTTTCAGGGCGAGATTACTCGAGCTACTTTCGCTTCCGAACGCGAAGATGTTCAGTCTATACTGAACTGTCACGACGATGACTGGTTTACTCGAGCTCACAGAATCTTCCACAATTCTTCTCGTGTCTAAGTTTGCAGCTGTCAGTGCCTAGTATGCTAGCGCTAATGCGATACATTTCACGAAGGATCTTTTGGGTATGGATAAGGGGACATAGCGGAGAGCAGGGCGCAATTCGTACCGCACACGCCAGAGGCCGCGCTTCCAAAAGTAACCGCCTGTGAGCCGCCTGAGATGTCCTTGTTAGTCAAAACATCAGCCCCTTTTGATGACAAGCATACCGTGTATCCAGACCAAAACAGGTAATCTTTGGTCAGTCAGCAGCTCTTGTGATTTGGGCACTGTAACGTCCAAGTTGAGGCATCGAAACTCGTCTTCGGCCTCAACGGGTAGCCTGTGCTCAGGAGGTATGCGCAATAGATGCCCTACATCAACCTTGACTTGAGGACACCGAGGGCTGTGAACACGAGAACTAGTCAGCCTTCCTTCACCGAAAACTATGTGGCATGTTCAGACCGAACGTCAAAAGAACTTACCCAAACTCAGTACAGTTGAGGTCTTGCGGCAAGGCCACTATTGGCTCGGGTTCCGCAAATCGCGAAACAATGTTTCCATATGGGATGCCTCTAAACTGTGCGATCGTCCCTAAATCAACGCCACGTAGAGTTGAACCCAGAGATTTGCTTTCTATTGTATAGGCCATCGTTATTCCAACGGCATAGGAAAGAACAAACAGAGTTACGCTAATTCTGGCAGGATTTCCCAACTGTAATCCGAGCTTTAGGTCATCTCCGTGGGACAGGATACACCGGACGAAAGACCAAGTGTCAAGTGGAGGACACTGGATGAGTAATGGTGGTTTCCCCGCGGCCAGGAGCTCTATCTTCGCAAGTCGACCCCGCATCAGGTGACTATTTCCGCGGCAAAGACACACACATAGATACACATAAACACACACACCCCCTCTGCTTCAACGTTGAACTGCAGCTGAACTATCACTTAATTACCAAGAAATCTCGTGATCATTCGCTTGAAGGTACTGATCAGGAATTCCGATGATCATCGAAAGCACACAGACATAGTGAAAGGGTGCCACACATAAGATTTTGAGGCAGCAAGTGTTTGGTGTTTTGATCATAAATTCACAGAGGAAAAGGCCGTTGGGAATATGACCAGTAAACGTGCCGAAAATACGGGAGATTCTTCTAGAGACTGATAAATACCACCCGATGCCTTTGACCAGTATCCCCTCGCCTGGAGCTCTCCAGTTGGTCCGTGGACCGTCTATTGATGGAACAGGAAAGCCTCCCAACCCTTCAGGAGTGTATCCAGCCCAATCTTTTCACCCAACTCGAGGAGCAAATCAAACCGTGCCGTGCTGGCCCCGGCCTCCTTGTAAGCTCTCGTCCCATCTTGGTACACCACCCGCCCGCCGGCATCTTGAAACCGCTTCCATGGAGCTTGACCATGAACAAAGTCAATTATATCGGTGACGAATGATTCGGCGGACTTTCGCTGCGTCTCTCCGAGATGTTCGTTATAGTTTTGGAAGAGGAATGCCACGTCGAGGACATGGGTGCTGTAGCCCCTAAATGGCCCTTCCCACGGGTTGGGCTCCGCAAACTCCAACAAATAGGAGTCGCCGTGAAAGCTGTTGGCAAATGACTCTGCCGGCGCCCGAAATCCGATATCAGAGGCGAATTGCAGAACTCGGATGAAAGCCTCATCGTCGTTTGTGGTGTCATTGATGTCGTATGCCTGCAGAATCTGCGCAGCTGTGCCGGCATGGTGTGACAAAGCTGCGTTGATGATTTGCGTGAATGAGGCTGCGATGTTCTCCTTGCGTTGGAAAAGACCCATAAACCCAAATATGCTCGCCTGTGTGGTTGGTTTATTAACATTAAGCCGAGAGAGAGACCGAGATGTTGATGGAACTCACATCCAAGGGAGCGTACCCGACCATGACAGCTTTACAAGAAGTTGTCTTGGGAACTAACTTCCCAGCTGATGCTGTTTCGAAGGTCGGCACGAACGGGGCCGTTTCTTCATCAAGAACCGGTAGAAAAGGAAGGCTCCTGCCAATCTTCGAGGAAAGCTCCTCGGGGGATGCCCTTGACAAGATCTTGATACGTTCACTCGAACTCACATCTTCAGCTTCCGAAGCTTTGAGAACGCCTTTGTAGGCCTGCTCAGCCACTCCGAGATCCAGGGGTGGGAGGGATGGCGGCGAGCCTCCCAAGATGATGATTTGAGAGGCAAGAGCTTTTTCAGAGTATAATAGACGGCTCGCCGAGACTAAGAAAAAGTAAGAGATGCACTCTCGGTTTCGAGACCGAAAGGCCGAATGACCGAAGGATGAGACTTACTGCCGCCAGCGCTTTCACCCACAACGGTCACACGTTCAGGATTTCCCCCGAATCCCGACACGTATTTTCCCACCCACTCCAAAGCCGTCCTCTGATCATGGTGGCCTTGGTTGCTCTTGAACCCCTCTTTGCGAAGCTCTTCTGATGTTAGAAATCCAGGAATCCCGAGGCGGTAACTATAGACATATTAGTTGCGAAAGTTAGAACGACTCGTGTGATTGGAGATATGTCATACTTGATGTTGATAGCGATGATGGGCTTTCCAAGCTTATTAGCCCTTTGGACTATGCGCTTGGTGTCATACTGAGGCCACCAGTTGGATCCCGTGCCGAACCCTCCGCCGTGAATGAAAACTAGAACCGGCACTTGCTCTGAGTCTCCAACATTTAGGGGCGCTGTCAAATTCAGATTGAGACACTCAGTCCCCGACAGACCGGGGAACTCGGCTGTTGGGAGCGACTTCTGAATGATCATGTGTTCATTCTTGACACCCTCTGGATCGGATATGGCTTGCGGTCTGATAGACGCGATTAACTAAGTGATTTGACATTGTCGAAGAACATGCGGATACCATACCCATGGCGTGTAGCGTTCATTCCACTACCATCGTACTGGACGAGTTTCGCATTGTCGAACCAGTGCTCCAGAGTAGCATATTTGAGACCGAGGAACTGGATCACGCCGTCGGATGCTTGACCCTTCACTTGCCCAATAATCGGGTGATCGAAATCTTGTGCGGTTGAAGCCATCTTGCTCTTGGTACTTCAGTGCTTTTGGAGAGTGAGACTTGCTAGCAAAGGAGTAGATGTCAAGGAAGGATTGGTTCGTTTGATCGGCGAGCTTGATGCGCCTGAGGTAACAAGTAGACGGAGACTCCAGCAAAGACTTCAGAAATATCATCAACTTGGCGGCTTGGAGCAGAGTCTGGTTTATCGACTTGGCTTCGGATTGATAATCGATGCTGAATTCACACCCTCAAGGCGAGCAACCGGATCACCCGGGAAGCGGATCACCCGGAGTGATTCCAGCAATGCATCTCGTCTTGCTGTCGAAGCTCCTGATAGCTACCCCACATTACCCCGCATGGAATTCGAGCAGCTTGATAGCTCCCCCACATTGGGTTGCTGTGAGAATCGCGTCAGTAACGCGTCAAGCCGCCCAACCAGCGGCCACCAGCCTTGAGCATTGGCTACGAGTGCTGGTTTGACATCCTATTGGTGTATTAGCTGCGAATCAAGCTCGTCAGTTCAACTCTGGTGGCATAGTGGATTCGAGCTCGCTTGAAGTGGGATCCGGAGGCTGTGGCATCAACAGCATGCAGCCTAAGTATGTGACACTCCAGCGCTAGCCTCATCAGTCACCTTCCAAACAACGCTGCTCTGGTTGCGCTTTGATATGCTTTGAAAGTCTTCATGGCGATGAAACCGTGTCTTATCTGATGATGACGTTGGGCTAATCGCGAAGTTGATTGGCCCGAGTTGGAGAGTTGTTGCTAGTAGGGAAGCACAGCGAAGGATCATGCCTACATAAAGTTATTCGTTGGTTTGTTGATGACTGATCACACGCCGGCGGGACGGTACACATTTGATATACTTCCTGAAGTCTGGTATGATGTAGATCAGGCCTGCTAGAATGCGCTAGTCTGGTTCTAAGGTTGACAAGCAGGCCCAGCAGCCTCCATCTCTCGCTCGTATGCCCCTGCCAATCGTTCCAGAACATCGCCCATTCTCACTGTGATACCCCAGACCCATACCTAGTTGCACATTGTTAACAATAACCTGAGGAATAGACAGGCACTAAGAGGGGACCTTACATCTTGAAGGAAGAGACTGCAGGTTTTAGCTAAGCCTGCAGCGATGGATGCGCTCTCATTTGCATCATAGTCTGCCTCCTCGAGAATGTCTTTTATCTTCATGAGGAGGTCTACTTCGGCTGCACTGGGCTCGATACCTCTCCTCATATCTAGTTCGATTGTGTGCGCCCATTTCGTGGTGAAGAGGACTATTAAATTAGTTCGCTTTAAGGCTTTCACGTTGTGTTTTACACGGTAGAACTCACCATTGTCCCAAGCTGCAACCGCATGCTCCACGCTCCATCGGAAAGCAGCTGTTTTCCGTATGAGCATATGCCCCATCTTCACTGGTAGCTGAATTCCTTCCAGCGTTTTCTCGATGGCCTTCACACAGTCGACGTTTCTTTCCAGCTTCATGTTCGTAAACATGGTGACGGAGCTGTCAACGGTACTTGGATCTTCTGCGAGCAGACTGAGACGATCAAAACTCTTGGTGTTGTCAAAGAGCCGAATGTAAGCAGCCCTGAGTATGGCGTGTGAGCTAAAGCATAGCGATGTGATGTCGTTGTCGTCCATATCCTCAAGCTGGCCTTCTCTGGTTTGCTTCAGCAGCCCGTGACACCTGTCCAATGAGTTCAGGGCATTTGCGAGAAGAGATTTCCCTAAAGAGGAATTCCCGGTCTTTGATTGAAAGGAGAAAACTGCCGAGGTTTGCGAAAGCTGGGAGAGCTGCCAGGTGTGTATCAAGACGGCATGCATCAGAATGAGCGCAGAGAACGGTGAGATGTTGTATGACTCAAATCTGGAATCATTAGTATTCTTAGACAAGACATCTTCTAGAATATCCTTGGTGGTTCTTGAGTTCCTCTTTCTGTAACTGGCACGCAGCTCTCGCCATTCGTTGGCAGATGAAGCATTCCAGAGGTTTTCGTCATGGAAGTGCTCGATTTCAAGATCCTGGCTGGCATTGAAGGCAGGACTGAGGCCGTATATGATGGTGTTGACCGTACTCGCCACGTATATGGCACCGAGGAGTCTCTTCCATGATTCGCGTTGTACCCAGTCTGCCCAAGTTGAACTCAGGAGATCCACGTTGTCTTGTTGCAGCTGATGCCGGACCTTTGCGTATAACTAGAGAGTTGTTATAAGTGGTAGTTCGGGACTCTGAGCTAGGCTCTAGCAGTATCGAATCGTGGCTGGAACTTACCAAGGTATAGTGACTGCTCTCTCCTATAGACTGGGCCGCCAAGTCATTATCGCCACTGAAAATAGCGAAGAAAGTCAACAGAAATTTAGTTTGCATAACCCAGAGTGGACAGTCTCTCGTAAGGATCTGCGAGATGATCATCAGCACTCAAGTTCGCCTGGAATATCATCATACATGAGAAGAGACAACCCACCGGCTCAATCAATCTCAGCGCCAGGTCCCAAAGACGCCGTGCGCGACGGCGATCTAAGCGATACAGAGCGCCAATACTGCACATAGCAAGTATCAGGGGACTAGGAATATCACCATGCGAAATCGTCTGGATGTGAATCAAAGGTAGGTGACAATGAAAACACTCCACGTAACTAGAGAGAAAGCTTTGACAGGCCTTCAAGGGAGGAATGTCCTTTGATATGTCAGGACCGGTAAGCCGCTTATTCACGTCTCTACAGATTGAGTCGTGCAGGGGCTTATCCATGGTGAGACTTGGCTTCGGAGATCGCTTGTTCTCAAGCAGACGTGGAAGGTTGCGCTCAGAAACGGCTTGAGACCTGGACTTCAAGGCTCCTGACTGAGACTGCTTATCTGCTTGATGTAGACTCCTTTCCGATGAGCATGGCTGCTCTAGAGAACTGGCATTGGAATCATTTGAGGCTTCAAGGCCAGTGTCTGGGTTTGATAATCCCATCCAGTCCGGAGCGTCGAGGAAGCCAAAGTCGTGCGTGTAATCAAAGGTTTCCTCAGACATGGGCAATATTGGCTGTGAAGTTGGATCTGCGAGAAAAGAGTCCAAGGGACCAAGACCTGAGCCATCTTCTTCTGTAAGCTGAGGGTGACCGTTTATCATACGGTCTCTGTCCGTAGTGCCTTCGCTGAGTTGATTTCGTAGCCGATTAAAGACAAACCCTTGGGTCATGGGTAGGCCTTGCGGCTGACTATGGCCAAAGATTATGCCGGGATTCGTGTCGAAAAACATATCCAAGGCGTCTGCTGAGTTCGAAGTCGAGGCATCGTGCGTTTGCGGAGGAGTGAGAGCTGCTTGTCCGCGTGGTGGAAATTGTTGAGTCTCTCTCGACTTGCTCTTGTGCTGCGTTGCGACCACGATGCTATTGGAAACTAGAGTTGACGAGCAAGAGTCTCTCCTTGGGCCATCTCCTAGCGAGGGCTGGCTCAAAGGGGTGCGATAGGCGCGATGTCGCTTAGGGGGATGATCTCTTTCACTCGAAGTTTCCTCCTCCGATGCATCATCGTCGGACGGATCATCGATGACTTTGCTATTGTGTTCCGCATGTAGGGTCTTCTCATGCCGTGTCACGAGATCTCTGCCTTTCGATTAATCACTGACCATTGCCCAAATAGCGCTGGGTCATTTCAAGGGAGCCTCACTTTCTTGAGTACGTCTTCAAACAGTACTGGCAAGCATAAGGCTTCTCGTTTGTGTGACTACGCTCATGACGAATGCAGTGCTCACTGCGTTTGAAGACCTTTGGGCAGTGGGCACATTTGTAAGGGCGAGTAGCACGACGAGCACGCTTCTCCCCTGCTTTGGTGGTCTCGGTTGATGCCTCAAGTTGCCCTGTCGCGTCCGCAGGCAAGGATGTGATAGAAGACATGGAGAACAAAGTTTCTGGGTTCGGTGATGGACGAGGCAGGCAAAGTATACAATGTTTTGTCGATAAGGTGTAGGACGGGTATCTCGAGAGTAAAGTAAGTTGAGCAGTAAATTCTACCGCGTTGTTGGGGAGAACATGGGGAAGCACGATTCAGTTTGTTGGAGTATCGTCCACAAGCGACCAACCAGACCGCATCGTCATCGAAGATTGACATAATAGCGCCAAGACGGACACGGGGAACGCCCGCGGGCCGCCGCAGCAAGTTGATCAGTAAGTTATTATCAACTCTTCGCTGCCACGGTGGTTGCGGGGAAAAGTGTGGGGTTCATCGCATTTGTGTCCACCGGCATTGAGAACGTTGGACCTGAGAAGGATTTGTACAAATATGCTAGTTGCTATTGGCCTTAATGCTCCGTTTGACCCATGCAGACGTGTGGACCTTGTATGTTAAAGCTCGGACGAAACGCAGCCAATGACTCGAAAGACGGAACACGGGCGGATCGCTCTCCGTTGGTTCCCCGTCGCGCTCTACTGCTATGCTACTACCATGCCCTTCGTGTCAACCTTGACGCTTCCCAAGTAGAATCCGTCTCTTTCTGCTTGGAACCACTCAGATTTGAGAACTTCAGCTCTTCCGTTGTTGCGTGGCTTGAATCGGACTTTGAAGGGTTTGGGAAGTGTGTTGATCCCCGGTTCATAAGCTTCATCGGATAGATCTACCGGCAGTTCGCTGCCGTTCGGATCCAATGCCGGCTCGATCTTGAAGGCCCACAAGATCTTGGCCAATGTGATGAACAGGCTGTTCTCGGCCAAATGCATGCCAGGGCAGATGCGCCTCCCTCCACCAAAGTCAAAGTGGTCACGAGCTTTGGCGTCTCCCTGAGCGGCGTAAAAGCCAGCCTTTTCAGGATAAGCCAAATAACGTGATGGGTTGAAGTCTTCGGGGTCAGTCCATTTGTCGGGGCTGAAATGCAAGACATATTGCGGGATGGCAACAACAGTATCTTTGGGGATAAAATAGTCCTTGTAGACAACGTCTGATGTCGTGTAATGCGGGCTCCCTATTGTGGTGACTGGCCGGATACGAAGGACCTCTTTCCCAGTTGCTCTGATGTAGGGCAAACTAGCTTCATCTGCAAACGTTGGTGATCTATTATCGCCGATCACTCGCGTTAACTCCTCGTTGGCAATATCCTGCACTCTGGGATTTGCCGCCAGATAAAGAATGCAGCTATTCAACGCCGAGGAAGTTGTCTCAGAGCCGGCCTCAATCATGGCTTTACTAAGAGTCAGTTCCTGAATAAGCAATAAGGGAGCCGGAGAGGGTACTCACAGCCTGCAACAAAACCAGCCTGGACGTCAGTGATGCCGAGTTTCTCAAAGTCTGACTCCATAAATTGTTTCACGAAGCACTCTGGGGCTTTCTTCTCAGCCACCGATGTCTTCAAGCCATTCCAATAATGCATCCAGATTTTTCTCTGCCTTCCGTAAGCACGAATAGCAGCCGGTCGCCACCACTGAAGAAACGATGGAAGATTGGCAAGCGGAGGAAACATATCCGCGATGTAAGCGCCAGGCTCTGCAACTTCAGTGAAGTCTTTCAAGAGCTCGTAAATCTGGCGCACATCTTCGCAGTCCTGTGTTTTCAAACCAGGGGTTAGCTACATCTTCCTCTAAGAGAAGTTGATCTAAGAACGACTACGTACCCACTTAGGAACACGAAGTCCGTATGTACTGGTAAGCACAACCGATGTTGTATATCTGCGCACATGCATGTAGAAACTTTCTTGGTCTGCGTTATCGGTCGCGATGTCGTAGAGGAGCTGCTTGGCTTCAAACTCTTGGGATGGCTTGTACGTGTCCGAGGCTTTCGGCGTGAGGAGCTTGTGCACGATCGTTCGCAATTGCCGCCATTTAGTCCCATAAGTCAAAAGTAAGAGTCTGTTGCTCCCAGACAAAAGGTCAGATAGAACCGGCATCGGCGACCTTCCAGAGGTCTTTGCCGATTGTTTGTCAAATATTTCGCGGACGGCGTCTGGACTATTGACGAAGACCCAGTTCTCCCAGCCAAGGCGAACTTTGACAATCTCGCCATAATCCTGAGCCCATCGTTGGACTTGTCGATGTGGTGCTGAGCCTAGCTGAGGCGCATTGCCTACTAGAGGCCATCCCTTTGGTCCTGGGATGGTCTTGTACCCCTTCGGAGTGGCAGTTGTTCTGCTCTTGATGTAAAAGTGAGCTACAACTATGGTGATAGAGAGAAAGCTTAGTAACTTGAGTAACGACATTATGTATAATCACGTCGTGGTCGCAATTAAAGTCTGCCCTGATTGAAGTTGATGCGAGATTGTGCAAACCTCATTCTAATAGCCATCTTTCATAACAAGTGTTGCTTCTTAGTCCAGCGGACACTATGCACACTTACTTGTTGTGCCCGCATTGGAGCACGAGCCCACTTCGGCGACTTTGTCAGTCATGACAGAGACACCACATCCCCGCACACTAGGAGACTTGTCCGGACTGGAATCCCACACAGGTCGTCTCAGGGCGACAACGAAGCTCTCCGAACCTCCACACGCTCCAACTTACGGACTGCTGTGAAGGCCGTGTGGAGTAGCTGCCCTAGCTCAGATAGCTCCATGTGGGGTGAAGCTTTCCGCAATGGACAGGGGAGCATTTCTTACAAAAGCGACAGATAGCTCCATTGAGCCGTCGTCATCGTCAGCCCCTCACCAGTAACCCCTCCACGCACTCAGATAGCTAGCTATCTTAACTTCGTCATGGCAGCGCCAAAAGATCTCCAGCCGAAGGACTTCCAAAACGCCTTTCACTGGGCGGCGACGCAGCAAGACGGCGCAGTTCCTTCGTTTGCGACGCGCCCGAATGATCCGTACTCTTATCAGCCTGGGTTCAACAACAGCTTCGAGTCTGAGGCTATCGCCGGCACCATTCCGAGGGGCCAAAACAGCCCGAGAAGCATTAGATATGGATTGTACGCCGAACAGGTGACGGCTTCGGCCTTCGTCGCGCCCAGGCATTCGAACAAGAAAGCTTGGCTGTACCGATCGCGACCAGCTGTAGCTCACCAGGGATTTGTAAGTGCCTGATTCATCAATTGGCTTTTGGTTCCAAAAGGGTTGCTAACTCTACTCTTCGAGACCGATCTTCCCGATAACAAGGACACTGAGTCGACTTTCATCCCGATCAACCCTCGAGTTCACATCTCTCCCACTCAATTGGCATGGAAGCCGTTCCCGGTTCCTGAAGGCAAAGACCTGGACTTTGTGGATGGTCTCAAGACTGTCGCCGGTTCCGGAGATCCAACTCTTCGAGAAGGCCTCGCCACTCACGTCTATCTTTGCAATAAAAGCATGACAAAAAGGGCCTTTGCCAACTCCGACGGCGATTGGCTCATTGTGCCTCAGCAAGGTGCTCTAGACATCCAAACGGAGTTCGGTTTCTTGTACGTGCAACCGGGTGAGATTTGCGTCATTCAGCGCGGTCTTCGCTTCAAGGTCAACGTCGAAGGACCAACTCGTGGATACATCCTGGAGATCTGGGGCTCAAACTGGGAGCTCCCTGAGTTGGGTCCCTTGGGAGCAAACGGGCTGGCCAACGCTCGCGACTTCCTGCACCCGGTTGCCGCATACGAGGTCACGAAAGACGATCCTTGGAACATCGTGTACAAGCTCGGCGGAAAGTTCTTCAACAGCACACAACGGCACTGCCCCTTCGATGTTGTTGCCTGGCACGGGAACTACGTCCCGTACAAGTACGACCTTACCAAGTTCGTCAACGTGGGCTCTATTTCCGTAGACCACATCGATCCGTCTATTTTCTGTGTCTTGACATCCAAGTCCCGAGACCCAGCCGCGCCCCTGGCCGACTTCTTGATCTTCTCCCCTAGATGGGACGTCGCGTCTCACACCTACCGACCGCCGTACTACCACAGAAACTGCGCTTCTGAGCTGATGGGGCTGATCTATGGCGAATACGGAGGCCGGTCTGATGAGTTCCAGCCGGGAAGTATCTCATTCGAATGCGGATTCGTGCCTCACGGCGTTGCATACGAGCAATTCGCCGCTGCGTCCAAGGCTGAACCCCCTCAAATGCAAATCTCGCTCGGCTCCATTGCCTTCATGTTCGAGACGAGCCGAGCTCTCACTATCACCGACTATGCCTGGAACAGCAAGGAGAAGCATGAGCACGATCCCAAGATGTGGGATGATCTGGTGGACAACTTCTCTCAGTTTGAGATTGATCCTAAGCTTTTGAGATCTAACAAGGCAAACCATCTGAGCTAAGCGTGGTGTTGACAAGAGACCATTTGAATGAATCACGTGTAACATGTTACAGCGGCTCGTTACCGCAGAGTACGCTAGTATAGAATAAAGAAAGGCAACGAATCCTTCTAAAGGAATCAGGCGCAAGAGAAACGTCAAGGAGACCATTTGTAAACAATCCCAGAATGGAATAAGTCTGATCTGAACTTTGTATCAAACAGCACACCTGCACACCGGACCTTCTGGGCCCCTCCTTCCACGAGTACCAGGAAGAAACCGAGGCTCAAGCCTCACATTATAAGATTGTAGAACCTCATGCGATTTGGAGGATCCCATTTCGCCTTCAGTTCTCTCAACTTCTCTAGTCTCCACTCGTCCCAACCATAAACAGCCTCAAGGGACTCGATTCCATGGGCATAATTCACATAGGCCCTCAGACGCTCTGGCTCATGGCTCGCCTCAAGTAGGTGCCCTCTCAGCTTTTCTCCGTACTCTTGAGCGAGTGCATCAAGAGACGCATTAGGCTTGTACATAATGTACGACGTTACCAGAATGTTATCATCTCGGTGCGGGCAAGCTGAGCTCTTTTCATCGACGGCTTTAACGCCGTGAGTCGAGTACCCTTCAAGGAGGAAGAATGATCCGGCAAACTCTGGGTTGCGGTTTGACATGTCGGCAATGTCATCGAAGACTCTCCGGACGACAGGCAAATCATACGTCTTGAGACCGATCGGATATCTCAGGCCCGTGTAGCCTTTGGCGCATCCGACACTATCACTGCTCATAAAGGTCAAGCTTGCCAAATCTGGCATAGGTGCTGCGCCAGCTTCGACATTTATGTGATCAATGTTATAGAGCGGCTTCGCATATTCTGTCGATTTCTCGAAGGTGTCGTCCGATATGATGGCGTACCAGATTATGGGCTATTCCATTTTTAGCAATCGGAATCCGCTTTGAAGACGTTCTACATTGTCATGGACTCACTCGCTTGGGGTCGATCTCTGGTATGTTGACAAAATACATCCAGTGCGTGACTTCCGCAGGCTGAGTCTTCATCATCTCGTTGGTCAGACTGAGGACTTCCTCAAGTTTGTCACCGAGGTAGATGAAAATCTGGTAAGACCACTTCGTGTTTTTGACATCGTAGACCCGGTACTGCCATTCAGTGACGATGCCAAAGCTGTGCCCGGCTCCCCTCAAAGCCCAGAAGAGATCGGGATTCTCATCATCAGACGCTGTGACGAGCTTTCCATCCGGGAGAACAACTCTTGCTGAGATGACTTGGTCCGAAGCTAGGCCATACTGGCCCTGAAGCCATCCTTGGCCGCCTCCTAGAACCGGAGCAGATATACCAACGCACTCACAGATTCCCGTTACTTTTCGTCGTCAGTATCAAATCATGGGATTCGAAACGGCTTCTAACGGGGCATACCTGTTTGCTTGCCTGCTGTCCACAAGGTGTTGACAACCTCCCTGACACTCGCTCCACCTCCAATCGTAGCAATCTCGCCATTCCCAGCGATGAATACCTGGCTCATACCGCGAAGGTTGATGGACACCACGTTCTTGGCCAGACCCAGGGACTCTGTCGCACCGTGACCCCCGGATCTAGCAAGAAAAGGGAGCCCTTGCTCATTGGCATAACGAACTCTGTGGCTGCGAGGGTCTCGTGAGGTTCTCTCGTAGCCGACGAATCTGGTAATACGCCTCGGCCATGAAGGAATCTGACGACTTCTCTGACGATACCGTCGTTGGCGCTTGCAAACCATTCGTCTGGCCAGTGGCCGATATCATCGGTAATCTGGTAAAACAGGTGTTGCCCCTCGAGTCCTTGCTTAGCGTAGATTTCCATCAAGAAAACGAGGGCGGCGTCGACCTGCTCGCTATTCGGTGTATCCGATGGTCTGAAAGCCCACTTTCCCCAGTATGAATCGTTGATGTCTAGCCACTTGAGAGGTATAGGTACCCTAGTCATCGCCATTCTGGCTGACTCGCTTATAGCTGTACCCTGGCTGGTGCTCGTACTTGAGACAGCCGGCGTGTTTGATCTTGGTGGACTGGGGGTCGAGCCGCTTATCGGGCGTGGCAGTAGTAGACTGTCGTCGCTGGCCTGGGTTGACGGGGTCTGGTTCGATCCCGCCTCTTCTTGCTGACGGGCGCTAGATCTCGTCGTTACTCCTGGCCTCGTTGCCGTGGGTTCCTCGGGCTCAGCCACCATCTTGGTCTTCTTCTTACTCTGTCTATCTCGTCTTTTCGTACTTCGATGGAGCAGATTGCGGGTAGCCTGACGACGTCTCGATCACGTGGCGTTTCTCCCCAAGTAGACACCCGGGAGGCGTATACGTACGTTAGACGAATTATCGCTGATCGGTGATCTGCTTCCAATCGATTGGTATGAGAAACAACGAAAAGAATCCTCTACGCGTCGTAGTTCGCGTTTCGCGATTTTCTCGGGAGTCGGTAATTCGGTATTGTCTACGGTAAGGTCGTCGGATAATTATCGAGATCCGTGGTGCTAATCAGGGCTTGTCTGGGATCCAGAGACGCACTTGAGATCTACGCTTCAGTCTGCTTGAAGGATCTCCTTTCTTCCTCGGTCGCGTGGTGCCCTTTTGTGCTTGAGTCGAAGGGCTCGTACTTCACGCGTCGGAAGGTATAGTCGGTACATTGTCGCGCGGGCGTAAGTCGCGGGCTGCGGAAAATAGATATAATTTTCGCGCGGTCTGGCCGCGGTTGGTGTACTTGACAGACTTAAATTCGCGGTCTTGCCGCGAGGAAGTCGGTATAAGCAAAGGGTCCTTCGTCGGTCGTCGGGCGCTCGAGGCGTCTGGCCGGTCGACCGTCGAAGGCGTTGCTGACGTGATGGACGCCTCCTCTCGTGAGATTCGAGAGGTCAAGGGAGCACGATTCCTCTATCCCGTTCGGTATTAGAGAGTCGTCTCTTCTGCTTTCGTGAGATGCCTTGCTGATCTGCGATAGTGGAATTTAACCACTGATCAGTGTTGGTATCCCTATCACAGGGAAGTTGGTTCGAACCGTAGGGTCCTGGGGGTGACGAAGTATCAATATCTCTGTATTGATTGATTCTGCGTAAGGAGTAGAAGGGAGATTCCAACCGGAGGTTGGGTGGGTAGTCGAGGTCTAAGTGTACCCCCCTCGAGGTGGCCCACGCTCTGCCCCTACTCGCGGTCGAATCGGACTTCCAATCCGACACTAACATCACGTGCTGAGGTTTGGTACTTGGGAATTGGGCGACCTGCAAGCCAAAGTTCCTTAGATAAGGGTGGCCTGGCTGATGTGTTAATTGCAGCAAGATAAATCACTCTTAAAGGACTTTTGTGAGGGAAGACCCATAATGCAGTGGTGTGTACCCGACAATGAAGCTTATTCCATTGACTGATGTGCTGAATGGCGTCACTACATCCGTCACTACATCCGTCACTACATCCGTCTCCAATCTTTCTCTAAATTTTCTCTATTTCGAGATTATTCATAGGCGAATATAAGGGCAATAAGATCGGATTATGAGATTGTTTGCTATTCTGGTTCATAACTTACAACTGTGAAATAGGAAATCAAAGGCTGCAGGTGCTTAACGCATGATACACATCTACGATATTTCTCGAACAAAGCGACAGTCATCTTCGAGTCTCAGGTTTGTTGAGGTTCTCGAGCGCTTGAGTCAGAACTATGGCGCTTGCGTTACGCCAGGCTTCTCTGTTGAAGCCAGAGATACGACTGGCACAAGCAGTTTCCGAGTTTGAAACTTTGCTCAGCTCTCCACAGAAGGCATCTTTCAGGACTGAGCGTTCTAAAGCCTGCACCAAACCCCCGACCGCAGGTGACGTGATGCGACTTACGGCCGAGATTGATCATGAAGCCCGCCAGAGGCGACTTTCATCCCGATGTTTTGGGCCTCGTCTGACCAACCTGCTACAGGCAGTCCAACAGTTTGCTACCTTGGGTGATGTCGTGGTAGGCGGATCTCAAAACCTCGTCGCGTGCGGAGTATGGGCAGCGGTCAGAGTGACCTTGCACGTAAGTAGATCCTGGTCAAACGAGCTAGGGGTATAACAATTGAAAAACTAAATTTGCTTAAGATGTGTATCGGCTTGTCTTCGTATCTAGAGAAGCTGTCCCTCCTCTTCATGACAGCTTGTAGACAGGCACCGCGACATCAGGCAATGGCTTTGATCTATCCGAAATCCAAAGAGTTGTAAGACCACCTCTGCGAATATTTCATCGTCGTCACTCGTATCTGCCATCGAGTTCAGTCCTTTGTGCGGAAATCAACGCTCAGCCAAATGACGAGTTCCCTCAACGATTCAGACATCAAAGACTTTCAATCCGATCTTGTCCTATGGTCCACATCCATAAAAGAAGAGGTCGATCTATTGCTCAACCAACATCATGAGACCGAGGCCCGGTCAAACGCCAAAGCACGAGCACTAGCAGCTCGTTGGTCGTCCTCTACAGCACACCGGTTTGACGTCGAAAAGAAATCGAAGTGGCTTGATAGTTGCTCTACCTACGATTTTGAGACAACATGGAATCAAATGAAAAAACTGGGTTCAACGTCATTGCTTGCAACCTCAAGCGAGTATCAGCAGTGGAAGAATCTTGGCTCGTCAACATCAATTCTCTTTAGCGGCAGAATCGGCGCCGGCAAGTCGGTCACAATGGCAAACGCTGTGAGCGATCTCAGTCATGACGAAAGAGCTATTGTGCTTTATTTCTTCTGTCGATATGATATCCCAGAGAGTTTGAATCACCGGACGATCCTTGGTAGTTTGGCAAGACAGTATCTGACCTGTTTCCCTGTCGGGAGTGATGTCTTCGCTGAAGACTTATTCTCTCCCCAGATGGGAGTCGAAGATTTTGCCCATGTTTTGACACTTAAGTCAGGAAGAGAAACAAAGAAGTATATAATTGTGGATGGTCTGGACGATTGCATTGTAGAAGAACGCCGAATCGTCCTGAAACAACTCAGAGATGCATGCATTCAACCATCATCGAAGTGGCACTTGGGAGTTTCCGCCCAGTTATCAGCCGACCGCTTCATCAGGAACCAACTGGAACCAACATGGGAAATCTCACTTCCTAATGAGAATCAAGATATTAAGTATTTTATCGATTTTGAAATCAAAGCTCGTCTCGAGAACGGCGTTTTGGCCGTTGGAGATCCCGGATTAGTCTCAGATATCAAGACCGCTCTGATTGACGGGTCAAATGGGATGTAAGTAATACTAAAAAAAGGGAAGGAACATTAGTCGCCCTCAGTTCTTTCCTCAATAACAATACCCATGTGTACTAAATGCAAAATAGGTTTCTTTGGGCGGCTCTCCAACTTGACGCCATTTGCTCAGAAAATCAGACCACGACATACGAGAAGCAATCAAATCACTTCCTCGAGATCTCGAAACAACGTACGCTCGAATATTGGGGAAATCAGCGGCTCGAGATCCTCAGAGATACCATAATCGAATTCTCAAGTTTCTCGCCGCAGCATATGAGCCACTGACATCAACTCAAATACGAGAGATGGCAAGCGTGACCATAGGCGAGGAGAAATATGACCCTAAAAGGCTGATAAACAACATCAACAAAGTCCTTGGTTTCTGCGGCAGCTTGATCGTGATAGACGAAGAGGAAGGTACTGTTCGATTTGTACACCACAGTGCCAAAAGCTTTTGCCAAGGCTCTCTGGGTCATATCTCGAACTGGCAATTCACGGAAGAAGAAGCCCACAATGAGCTCGGCGGAACGATCCTGACATATTCGAACTACTCTATTTTTGAAACCAAGCTTTCGAGAAATGTCATTCCGGAAATTGACGCTGGAAAAATCTCGACTGGGATTATCCCATCGGGTGCGGATGGACAGCACTTTCGCCAAGACCACGAAATACCCACTATGTATCCACTATTACCCCGCATTTAAAGGGGTACTTGACGATACGTCACTCATCCCTATGCTCTTTTGCCTATTATTATCACTATTATTACCATTTTGATTGATACTGTGATGTCTTCTGGTGATTCTGATACCTCTATTGCATCTAATGCTTCTATTGCTTCTACACGCAGCTGTATAGTAGTTGAGGTCCACCCAGAAGACCTTACTGCTGCCTGTAATACAGACTGTACGCCCGAGCGCTGTGACGCAGCTACAGTCCGGCCCCACGAACCTCCGGCAACTCAGCATGGTCCTCTGGGCTCCTTCCGACCCTTCAACGTGCCGGCCCGGGCCCAAGAGATACGGGGGCTGCCGGCAAGCCCGCTTGAACTGTTCCTCCAATACGTTCCGCAGAGCCTCGTAGAGCAGTGGGCCCAGTGGACGAATACAGCACCGTTGTCTAGGGAGGGCCCTAGGGCTAGACGGGCTACAGACAAAAGGAATACCTCTATTCCATGGGAACAGCATAGGAAGGGATCAAGAAAGGTATCTTCACCTTGTACCTATTGTGGTAATAGGAAGGCTTTAAAGGAGATATCTGGGAATGCCATCGCTCGGCAACGACGGCAGACAACTCGAAAGGGCTGCTTAGATTGTAATGTACCGTTATGTATTAGCAAAGATTGCTGGTACCTCTGGCACACCCAAAATTTATAGGAAATAGAGGTACTGCAGCCCTATTGGTTAACTTAATAGATTTGCAAGCCCTTATTGGCTCTACCCCGCCCTTGGCGAAAGTGCTGTCCATCAGCACCCGATGGGATAGTGTAGATCACTTGGTATACCCTTACACTGTATTGGATGTTTAATAAAGTCCTGCCGTATGTGTACTAGACTATAGCTCAGGAGTCAGTCGTTGTGGTACGATGCTTCTAACCCGGTCTTTCCGACTTGAATCCGCCAAGCTCGTAAACCTCGTTTACATGGCTGAGCAAAGCTGCGTGTAAGCAGAGATTTGTAAGAAGAGCTTTCTACAGTAGGCACGATCAGACATACATGTATCAATTCAGATATTAATATGCTGTCAACGTCGCTCGTTACTGGCCACTGGAAAACACCCATCAGCCGTCCATCAGCACTCTCTCTTCATCACCACATTCACTAGAATCACACTCACTTAAACCTCTACTCAATCACCCGCTGTCAAAATGCGTGCTGCAACCCTCATCGCCGCTTGCTTCGCTGCCAGGTTCGTCTACACTTGACCTCGTTTCCTCCGACATCGGCATGGCTAACCACATATTTTGCTTCCAGTGCCGCAGCTCAGACGATATACTGCTGCGTTAGCAACGACCAGGACCAGGTTGTGCCCATGGACGATCAGACTGAGAGATGTTGCCAGGCTTCGGAGGGTAACATGCAGGGTGTAAGTACTGGCCCAGTGGACCCTCGACTTTCTTGAGTTGAGATCAGGACTAATCTCATGGGAACAGCAACACGAGTGCGCGCTTGAAGTAGGACTCTTCGGCTTCAGCCAATGCTGTCGCCAGCAGAGCACGTCCACCTGTAACTTCTGATTTAAAGGGCGCGAAGTTCGGTGGCGCAACGGGGGATTACCGAGGCCTCTCACACATTATCAATGCTGTTGGAAATCGGAATTTGGATATCATGGGCGGCAGGTTTTATGAAATCTACCTGAAGCGACTTGGGGTTCTTGTTAGTGAGCTCGGATCTTGGCTGAAATACAACTCGATCTGTTGATAAAACACAATGCGCCATCCATTATATATGTGAAGTGAAATTACTCAATCGCCCAAGTCGTCTACGTTGTTCCGAGTCACCTAGTGCGATAACCATGCACGAACATTGCTTTAACCAAAGATTTGTCAGCTCAATGCCTCCCCCCCCCGTATGGTTGGTGAATGTATTTAATTCCAACCTAAATTCGTCATATACAATGTTCTGTCCCCGATCGTATGTTTCCAAAACCTAATACGGCCTTGATAATGTCTAGACACTAGCCAAAAACGCCCCGCCGCAGCAGATGCTGCGCCGCCGACCTCATTTTTGCGACAGGTTCGGAGTCCAGCGGTCGCCAATTAGCGGCTGCCGTTGTAACACCCATTGAGTGACAATAATTATCCTCTTAAGGCTTAGTGCCTGGTAGTGCTCACTGCCTCCAGCACATTTCCCAAAATGGGAATAGCCTCCTTCTGTCAGTCACAACGTCACTGTTACCCAAATCTGCTATATATCACTTGCCAAGGGACGCCGAGACGTCCCTCAACTTCATAAACACTTGTTTTAAGACAGTTCAACGAAACTATCACCAACCAGAACTTCTCAACGCTAAGCCATCAACTTAGCCAAATTCTTTTCCTCAACAAAAGTCGAACAACTCGCTCCATCATATTAAAAGCACGGCAGTCGAGTCTTGCTTATTATTCCCATATCCTCAATTTCAATCATGAGCTCAGTCTTGTCTGGAAACTCGGACTACGGTGACGCGCCTCCTGGTTACAAGGAAGCGCTTAGTTCAGGAAGCTTTGTGTCACCAAGCGACAGTGGTACAATCAGCCAACTTGACATCCATGCCATTGGCTATGACACGAACCAGGCCCTCACGGGCAACGTGCTGGAAAATATCCCCGTGTACCGTTTTGGCTCTGGAGAGCTTGAGTACACATCCATTCGGCTGAAAAAGAACTCCAACTCCTGTGCTCTCGTCCGCGGGTCCGACTCTAGCCAAACACCTTTGATATCAACGATTTACCGCTGGGGCCCTGGTCGGCGTCCCAGAATGAGGATTCTATCCCCGGGAACTACTGCCACAGTGGAAGAGGCAATCGAATCGGACCATCTCGTCTGCGAGGTAGTCGAGGTCAAAAGTCGCAACATGATATCGCGCACACAGGAACTCAAGACGTCGTTCGGCACCTTCGAGTGGCGCTACGGCGGGCGTGATGAGCGCAAGGAAGCCTCCGAAGCGTCCTCACTCCTGGTTCTGGAACGCACCGACGACGCCGCATCGGCCTTGGCCAGTAACGGCAAGGTCGGCAAGCGCGGCGTCCCAGTCGCTCAGCTTGTGCGCAACGCGGAGCTTCGTACCCAAGGCACCAGTCGCTGGATGGGCGGCAATGGCGGCCGCTTGATCATGAACCTTGGAATGTGGACGGATGACAAGAAAACAACCATTAAGGACGCCGAGGCTTTCATCGTCGCCAGCTGTATCCTCATGCTCAAACGAGAAGCCGATCGGTTCAAGGACAACCAGATTGCTGCTGTAGTCTAAGCCAGGTACGGCAGCAACATGACTGCGATCCAGATGGGAATCGGGGGCGTGTAGAGGATGAGCCTGCACTGCCAACTAGGGGCTGGTGAGCGGCGAATTGTACTTTTTTCAGCGGATAAATGTAAAATGAAGTATTGTAAGAAGACTAAACTGGCAACCAGGTGAGGTCTAGGCCTTTTCTGACACTTTGGACAAACACTAGAACAAAGTGTGCACTTATATGAGTTGAGAGAAAGTGTACCGTACCTATGAGGCCTATGCTAAGTGATCTGCGGACTCTTAGGTAACCCCTAATAGCCATTGAACTATCACCGTTCTTTCAAGACCGATAGATATAGCATTCTCACGTTACGACTTTGATTCTAGGTTTAATCAAGAGGCCCTCCTGTTCAGGGGTGACGATGGTGCTTTGGCCTCTCGCCTAAGTCCTCGCGGTTCCCACGGTTCCCAAGGCCGTTCCAAACTCTATAGACCCTGCTTCACCAACGCTAAAACAAAGAGATCTTGACTAGATAAACTACAGAATTTGAGTTTACTTCATACTTCGAGAAATTCTCCATGGTCTTTGTGACTCTAGCTGGTCTTAGCTTTTGGCAATCCATCAGGCCCATGTTTCATAGAACTTGCCTAGCGGTAACACCGATGGCGCTATCACATTTCACATCCAGCACCCAAAACTCAATCTCACATCTTCTGAATTGAGTTGTTGGTCTGCCCACAGCGTCGACTCATTATCGCGAGGGCCAAGTTGTGACACAAGCACCCTGCTTACCTGATGTATATGGAGTGCAACGCCTAGTAAAGTGAATCTCGAGTACAATTTGACTCATCGCTGCCCGGCTGCCCCAAATAGCATGGGCGGAAATCAACAGGACACGTGTCGATTTCATATTTGATTCTTCTCAGCAACAAATTACATATTTACTCGAGAGATTATGTCATGGGCGTATGCGGCACAGTCTATGGTGGCCAGCCAGAGCAGGCTGCAGTGAGGAGTCTCGAGCATATCAGCTCCACAATCAGTCTCTTGGCAGTTAGGAACCAACAGCCAAGGTAATTTCACACGGGCCGTGTTGTGTTATAAAGTAGGCAAGCCTACTATGGAGCCGTCAACATAACCTACCTCAACTTCCGTGTGCCTCTTTACATTCTTAGACCGTTCACCTTTGTCTCAACGCTTGAAACAACCGTCTCCATTGAGTTAATGACAATGCCAACCGTTATTCGACCAAACGACGTAGTCGTGGGCAAATTTACAGAAAAGCCATCCTCAAAACAAGAGTTCTACGAACATATGTCTCTCCAGAGTGGTGATTGTGGGCAAGATTCGATCCAAACATCCGTCTGCAATGCAGACAGTGACACCATCGTAGCCTCCAAAAACGGTCACGTAAACACAGTCCTCCGCGCCTGGGAACAACACTTACACCTCGAGCTAAGACCCGATGACGTCTGGCTAGCCGTCCTCGTCCAGTTCAGCTTCTTCGTCAACGGGCCTGGTCGCGCTGAACTATTGCGCGATCGTTTTGTCGCCCATGAGGGCAAGCAGGACCTCGTCGTCTTCGTCGAACACGGGGCCACCGCTCAAAACATTGACATGACAGCGTTGACGGAGAAATTGGTCGATCTTGTCAAGGAGCGGATGGTTGATGAAACCATGGCCGACAGGCTACTTCCGACCTTCAGCACAACCTTGCCGAGCGACCGCACGATTGCGGCCGCCGTGTTTCTCGGGACCATGAAGCAGTACTTCGCTTACGGCGTTCAGGTCGAGTGTGGATTTCCCTCCGTCACCCTCCTCGGCGAATGCAGTGACTGGGCCGACCTCGCGAGGCGTGTTCGCCCGGCTGGCAGGATTTGATGTCGATACTTTGGACGAAGAAGGGTCATCTATATCCGAGTGGTCGCGCTGTCTCACCGTGGTGGTTGATAGGATGGTGGATAGCTTTGACCGGCCAGAGGACGACGACGTGCGCGACTTTTGCACGCGGGCGTGTCACTCGGGTGGAAGCGGCATGTAGGGATCGGTAGTCCATCAGTCTGGCTGGCTAACAGCCTTTTTGCTGGTGGCGAGCCGATGGGATGAGGCAGAAGGCGTATAGCGACGAGGAGTCGCAGCGGGAATACTCTTGGGCTGATGAGAAATGGCAGAGACTGGAGGTATCCGGGGTTAACGGGTTTCCGGTCATCGATCAAAGTGAGATACCCATCGGATTGGCGAGGGTCCCAATCGCCTTTGGCAATCAAGTCGTTGGAGAAGAGGGGTTAGGTGCTGATGGTACGGAGACGATACTCCTGGCAGGGTCTGGTGGGATGAAGTTGCTGGACGGTCGGGAGTTGACGAGGGTAGCGCCGTTTTCGAGCTGGTGGCTCTTACAGAGTAAACTGGAGCTACGGGAACGCAGACCCCAAATTGAACCAAGGCCGAAGGGACTCGTGGAGCGCAAGTCAGGCTTGTATCAGAAGAATTCTGGTGGAGTTGTGGTTAAAAGGACATGGATGACTAGGGCGTATGCCAAGTCCCTTGCGAGTTCTCAGTGAGTCTGGAGATGTCTAGAAAAACAAGGCATTGCAACTACCGCAACAAAGGGAAGATACTTGAGTTGTTGAATCAGAGACTAAAGAAGCTCAATATATAGGCATAGACTCGTTGCTCGTGCCTCCTATTTTATCTCGCTGCTTTCCAGACAGGAATGGTGATGGTGTTTTCTTGTAGCCTGGATAATCGAGAACAATCTTACGGAAGGTCCTCGAAGCTGCGCCAGCTTTCTCGAGAATAAAGCCATGTGGGAAGTTCCTTCCTTTCATGAATCTGAGGTGCACCTGCCTTGGTTAACTGCAGCTGTTCTTTCCGTTTGCTGCTCTGCTCACGACCGGTGCCCCTTCGGCCTTTCTTCCTTTCTCTCGCATACAAAAAAGCTTCTTCCTCTCTCCAAGCCTTGCCTCTTTCTTCAACCCGACATATCAAAGTCACCGTGCCTTTCATACTACTACTTCACCAACTCTATTCCCCCCATTCATTAATACAACCAGTACATATCTTATCACCATCAGTCCCTCCCTCTATCTGTAATTCACGAGCTCTCTACCATGTAGCTAACATCATGCACAAACAGACAGCCATGCCTCCCCAGAAGAACTCCGATGCCGATGCTGCCGCCGGTGGCCTCGACCTTACTAATTCCGAGATCAAGCTCATGTTCGCCATGATGGAGATCATGAACCGCCCTTCCATTGATTACGACGCCCTTGCCGTCAAGCTCGGCTCCGCCAGCGCCAACGCAGCTCGCACCCGCATCGCTACTGCTGTTAAACAGCACCATACCTGGTTCACCGGCCCTGGTGGCCCTTCTGCCACTGACGAGGGCTCCTCCACCACTGGCAATGACGGCGGCACCCCGGTCAAGAAGCCCCGTGTCAAGCGCACCCCAAAGAAGAAGGCGCCTTCCGACAAGGAGGATGGCGAGAATGGCGAGGAGCAGGACACGCCTTCCAAGAAGAAGGCTCGTATTGCCAAGGTCAAGGAGGAGCTCACGGATACCACTGCCGAAGATATCAAGCCGAAGCTGGAGAACCCTGGTGTCATCGATGGCCAGATCTAAGGGAAGGAGATACCGAGGAGGTTCAGGTTTTACACATACTTCACTTGGATTGTGAGCAAGTTGCTTCTAAACTTGGAGAGATCGTCATAGTGCCACCAAGGAATCGGGTTGTCTTGAGGCCTTTCGAGACCTGGGCTGGGTTTGGATGGATATGGCAAGGTGGACTGAAGACCTTAGGGATATTCGTACATCGACAGAATTCACTACATTGAGTTTTCAACAAAGAATTTCTCAGTTACCAGTGCTGTTTCTCCGTAAACCCCAATTCTTTTGTGAATCAAAGCCAGTTGATCAATGTTACTAAGATGGTGACCTAGGCCGATATTCACAAGGGCTACATCCGTCGCGATGCCCGCTGAAACATGCATCTCGGCCTCAATATACCAATAGCAGAGGAAGTGCATGTTACTGCCATGGATAGGTCTTAGGTTTGCATCCCTTAGGCTGTCTTTGTTACATTGAATGGTTCAGAAACCTTTGGTGCTTGTACAAATTCTGCGAATCTCCCCTAAATAGAAAGGGAAGCTAGGCAGATGAAAGAATGAAGACACCTTGGATAAATATGGTTGCGGGGTGTGCTCCGAAAAGAATTCCATCATGGTTTCTCTTCAACAACCTCCCCATCACGCCATATACCCTTCGGGAGGTCTGCCGCAAGGGCGGCTGCGCCCTTGCCGCTACGGCGTTAAAATACAACAACAACAACAACATCACGCCGGCCATGGCCCATATCTATCTTGCCGCCACCACGTGTAGCTACCACGGGACCCACGCAAATCCAACCACGACCGTGACTGCCTTCCTGCATATCACGTGGTTCCTGAGATGAATATTTTGAATAGCTCTATCTGCATGATGTTTGGCACAGACTCATCAATCTATCCTCAAAGGTCATTCCACGCGGACCTTGGTCTACGTACAAGCAAAACTAGCCCATATCATAACAAGGTTTGAGAGGGCATTGGCTTGTCTTTGAATGGATTAAGATCCAGAGAGAAGACTGACGAGAAATTATAGAAAATTATTATCATCATAATATTTCGTCACAATTGCAAGCCGAGAACCAGTCTGCCCTGACTCGACAAGCATGTAAGGACAAGCACGATATATTGAATTACGGAGGAATCAAAACAACTGAAGAGAAGAACGATTATGAGCGAACGGCTCTGCGCATGGGATCCAGTTCGCCATCCTTTATGAAAGTCTTTCCTCGACATGTCGAGATCTTGATTTGTGATGTGGACCTGAGAACTGATCTGACGGCCTCTGGGACCGGACATGATGATAAGATAGGAAGACTGGAAGACGCCAAATGATACCCTACGACAAGATCACTACTTCTGGGCGGAAGATTGAGGTAACGATATGTCGTCGCGGCTGCAATGCCCCGCGCACCTCGCGCGAGGCTCCTCAAACTTTGACAAGCTACCCATGATATATCGCCTTGTTGGCTAAGTGGTATAGCGTCTCACTAGTACCTAGTGACATGAGAAGATCGGCGGTTCGATTCCGCCACGAGGCATTTGTTTTGTTTTTGAGAAGTCCGACGAACAGGATTTTGATGTTTATCGACTCACAGCACCTTTCTATACTTTTTTTCTTCTTACTTTCTCATCTGTTGTTGCGCGTGTAACTTTTGTAGGTCCTGCCATCTCATCCGGAGACCGCGAAGGTTTCGCCTGGTAGGGCTGTCCGCCCGCGTGCACATTCCACCCACCCATCCATCCATCCATCATCCAGGAACGTGACCGCTTGTCACACACGTCGCATGAAAAGTCAAAACAAGGACAGCTCCTGTTCTGCTCCATTATCCAGTTGAGCGAAAATGGAATTGACACAGCCTTGCGGGTTTGCCATGTCCAAATTGTCCACAGCCGCAGGACTCCAGCAAGGTCCAGCCAGCAAGAGCCACAGGGAATCAGGGATGCCGATGGAGAAGAGCAGCAGAACTGAGAAAGCCGCGGGAGGAAAAGCCGAGCTGGTCGCACGGCGGCTGTGCAGAACTGCCAGAAACTCCATCCGCAAAACCCCATTGAAAAGAAGGTCTCAGGGATGGACCGCTGCGCCCCTCCAGAAAGTGGGCAGAAAAACACTGAGACAGAAGGGAAAGTCAAGCTGAGTCTGGCGGCCTGGCCTGGCGTGCCCCCCACCTCCTGAGAAATCCATCCCCCCTGTTCTTCCTAATTGAGTCGACAGATGGGGTGTCAAAAGTATTGGATGATCCACGGGGGAGGGACAGAGTTCAATAGCTTTTGAAGTTTGGAGTGCCTTGCATATCCTGGATAAGAGAGGGCGCGGCTGCGAGCCTGCAACAGTAGGAGGGTCACACGGCATCATATAAGAGCGTGCCGTGCATGCGGTATTCACTCTCCCCCCTCCAGATATCATAAGTGCGGCTGTTATTATGAATTACTCGCTTCCAGAGCCGTGGGAATCGGGATCATTCTTTACGCGAGTTGGCGAAGCATTGGGTCCGGCCCCGGCCCAGAATTCGATCCCGCTCACGGGCCTGGGGATGGCATCATGGCCGTTGCGCTGGCTTGGCCGCTTAGCCACGTTTCCGATTTCCCACAGTTCCAGATGTCTCCATCCGCCAATTGACACTCTCACGAATACCCACTTGGTATTCCCTATGAAGAATAAAACGGCATTGTTGGAAATTCACAAAAGGCCGACGACGGAGTAACTCGAGCAGAAAATCAGAAACCCGCTGGGATGAAGGGTGGTCTTCATCTGTTAGCGTTTTATTAACGTTACATTGAATTTCACGTGCCTATGTACCACGCCTACAACCACGATCCAGTTTCTGTAGTCGGCCAATTGGCCAAATCTTGGTAAGGTTGATGAACCGTCTGCGCATTAGTGATTCTCGGCCAAGGACCGTCTTGTGCCAGTTGTACACTAGACAGCGGTTCCATACGCCACCTGACGTCAAGTATGGTTCTGTTCTTCGCTGTCTCGGGTCAATGGCACAATTAGGTAGGTGGTGAACAGAGACTCTAAGAAGTTTGAACCAGAAAAGGGCAGAAAATCAAACCACCAGCGACCACTACGCGAAAAACCTCGTATCCATCGCATTCTCTCGCCGATCTGAACCATTTGCAAAGCAAATCAAGCAACCACTCGCACAACAAGCGCGGGCGACTAGCGGTTAGCGGCACCTCGAGTCTTTATCTCGGCTAGCACCAGACTTGCCAGTTTGACACGGACAACAGCGAACAACACTGGGAATCCAGAACATTATTACGACACTTATGACGGCGGTGGAGCCGTCCCCTGATCGCCCCCGATTATGACTCGCGCTCGGAGCGCGCGCCCGCCCAGAGAGGAAGGCCTCCCAAAGACCAAGAATTGGAATTGGACCAGTTTTTTTTTTTTTTTCTCTCTTGCTTCAGACCCTCTCTACTCTCTACGGACTAGTTCACTACAGTACTGCCATCCGTAGCAAGGAGGGGGTGGGATGGTCCCTGTCCCGAAACCCTTGGTGTCCCCGGCCATCGGATAGCTGGGAACTCTGTCCAAGAAGTGTGTCCAGGTAGTGTAATCTTTTGCTGTTTACTCTTTGGGAACCTGTGCTCCTGTTTTTCTGCCAATTTACCATCTTAACTTTACTGCCCTACCTATTGGGTCGAATTTGGACGACTCTTCACCGTTGATCCAAATTTCACGAGTATTGCGTCTTGGAAGATCTCCCGCCCGCGTTCTTCAAGACTTGTTGATATCTCACCGGGCGGCCCACACCAAACGTTGCTCGTTGCCCCGACGGACCCTTCGATTTCGGGGATTTTGGAGAAAAGCTACGGGACCATCCCACGAGGCCAAGAACACAGCACCGGTTCTGCACTCGTTTTGCGATCTGGACTTCGTACTCAGGGCAGGATATGGACTAAAAGGGGTTGAACTCGAAAAGGATTCGAAAGCACCAGAGCAAACAGTCAAGGCAGCCTTTACCTTGGATTGACTTTTAGTTCAATCTTCTTACAGAAAGTAAGAAAGACAGCAGTAATCGGTCTGCTGCTATTCTCAGCGCGTGGAGCGGCCCAAGATTTCCCTCCCATATAAACGAAAGATACCCAAATGACGACGACATCCGACCCGAATCCAATGACAACCCAACGAGGCGCGGCGCCGCTGACGACCGTCTTCACGACGCCAGACTTTTGCAATTCCCTCTACTGGACAAACACAATCACACCGCCCCTCTCGAGCGTGGTATGCATGCCGACATCATGGCACCAGGTCAACGACTACAGCTGGGGCTACTACTCCCCCGGCATCTGCCCGTCAGGCTACACCGAAGGCTGCGCGTTCCCGACCTCGCTCGCGACATCAAAGGACGGCGCCGTCGGCATGGGCGGGCCCGTCACCGTCGGCGAGACGCCTAGGCTATGCTGCCCGACGGGGTACGTCTGTTATACAGACACCAAGAGCTACGGGTACAGCAAGTGCATCTCGACGATCCCGACGACGTCGTTTTATAATAGCGATAATCAGCCTACCTCGCAGCTGGCGCTGGTGTACGCGGTGCAGGTGCGGTGGGCGAGTTCGGATTTGAGTATTTTGGAGACGGATCCGACGGTGCCGGGGGCGACGTTTACGGGGGCTACGGCGACGGGGAGTAATTCGCTTGCGACGGCGACGGCGACGAGTACAGACGGGGCGGGTACCGGATCTTCGGACGGAGGCGGAGGGGGTATCTCTGTCGGCACGACGATTGCGATCGCGGTTGGATCCGTAGCAGGGACGCTCGTGCTGGCGCTGCTGGCGTTTATTCTCCTCTGGCGACGCCGTAAGAGACGACAGGCACAAAAGCTAGCAGCAGCAGGAGAGAACGGCGGCGGCGCAGACAGCGACTCGAAATCAGACTCCGTGGCGCCGTCGATGGCACATAAAGCGCCCGTGGGGAAATCGTCTCTAGACATCATGTCGCCTAGCACGGCGAGGCCGGGGACGGGGACGACTGTCGTGGGCGATGAGGCGCTGCACTCGCCGCAGTCGCCGACGACGACGGCGCAGCTTGACTCGACGACGGTGATGGAGATGGAGACAATGGAGAGGCCGCAGGAATTGCCTGATACCAATGAGGTTTTCGAGATGGAGGGCGATATGCCGGGCCCGCCTTTGTATCGGGAGAAGGAGGGGTGGCCTCTTAGGTGAAGAGGGAGTTTGAGAGTTGGAAGACGGTGTTTGCGGCATCTATCAGCGATGTGTATATGTTACCATCTTGTCTGTCAGGATATACCTACTTATTGTGGTTTACTGTGTTGATTTTCTTGTAGCGCCGGAGTTCATGTAGAGATAGGTTATGGGAAGCCCCCGGCCCGCCTCAGTCGGTTCCTTGAAGGGCCTTGGAGGAGCAATACTCTAGAGAGCATTATTTTGCAAATACTGCAATAAAATATAATCGAAATCAATTCTACAATAGGATGGGTTCCATGATAACTTGTCGACACTCAGACGCTACGATTGTTCACGCGACGGCACGATGGTTTAGCGTCCACACAAATGGTAGGACATAGTGGCGTCTAACAGCAAGAACTGTCTGCCTTCATGTCTGTTCGAAAATGAAGGTCCCCAAACAATCATACATCGATGCGGCATCGCCTTTCATCGAATCTTACGTCTTCTACTTAAAGACCTTTCCTCGCCTCATGCATCTGGAAAACATTCACAGCCCCGCCACTGATTCAAAGTGGCTTCCGTCGCTCTACCTCTTCTCAAATTAGAAGCTTAGAGACTTGGAGAAACAGAGCAGAGCTGCGACCGATTTCGACGCCGGATTCCAAAAGCTTAACTATGCCCAGTGCACATGAAGCAGTAATGTTCTTGAAAACGAGAACTGGATAATTGTGATAATGCTGGCTTCATGGATGAGCACTTTATATAAAGTCTAGGACATTCCCTGATCAACTGCAGTCGACTCCTGACTATGCCATTCGTTACTTCAGTTACCTAGGCACACTCTCATGGCTATGTCCAATAACAAGCACCTCTCGCCCTCGCTCATCAGCCGCTTGCAGCGACACACAACATCGGCAGCGGTGCCCGTTTTGGACCGCTCAAGCCTACATTCCAGGCTACTGGCGCCACTAAGATGCTTCTCCCTCCCGACGCCCCGGCGTGCCCCCTGTCTCAGTTCACCTCGCTGATTCGGCGGAGGCGACAGGGCTACAATAGGCAGAAATGGCGGGGCTTGTAGGATTCTCGTTCCAACATCCAACATTTGATGTTGGTGTTGGACGGCGCTGACGGATATAAATGAGTGTCTTTGGCTTAATTTCACGTTTTCGTAGCTTTACTTTCATTTTCGATTCATTTGTGCTTCATCTCACTTCGTACCGTTGAAAGAAGTCATCAAAATGTCTCGGCGATCCGCAGAAACGATGAACATCCCGCGGGGTGTCGATGTCGTGAATCCCAATTACATACATCCGCATCTCGTCATGATCGGTAAGTACCACTGATTTATTATGAGACTGTTCTCACAAACAATGTCCGAGACCTCACTACGCAACAATCTTACTCATATCTGCATCCCTAGCCGACGTCAACGCCCTCCCGCTGGACCTCATAACCCAATTCTCCTTCCTCCTCATGGGAACCGGCCACCTCTTCAGCGGCAAACCCTCAACACGATCACCCTCACCACCAGAAGACGAAGACGAAAAGACGCTCTGCGCACGCCCCTACAACGACTGGGCCCCGGCACCCTACAACACCTACAGCATCCGCGCAGACTCCTTCCTGAACAGAGCCATGACCGCCGTCTCTGGCTTCGGCGACATGCTCGAGATCGTCACCTCCACCAGCACGGAGTGCGATCGCGACCTGCACCATATGAAGACCCGTCTTCTCTCTGGTGCGCCGCCCATGTCGATCGCAAGGTGGCGCCAGAGGGGTCTACATGAGCTGGACAACATTCAGCGCGCGTGTCAGCATCTTTGTGCTGTGGTGGATGCGTTTGAGTATCTTAACCTTCCGCATAACGAGGCGCGGATGCGGAAGGCGTGTAATAGTGTTTGGAATGCAGGTCACGACTTTGGGAAGGCTCTCAATGCGTACCGGAGGGAAAAGGGGCGCGGGAGTCCGGTGCCTGTGACGGCGCTCTGGGAGGAGTATATCGTGGACTTCTTCGATACCGTGGCCGCGAGGGCGCATGCGTGGGTGATGGCGCGGATAGGCGAACTCAAAGAGGCGCTCCTTCTCCAACTACGGCAAACCACACCCGTTTCCGACGGCCCAGCGTCCGCAGCGCAAATGGAGATTTTGGATCGGTTCCACGACCTCACTGAGATAACGAATAAGGCAGACACGAAGATCATGGTGCCGTTGTGGGGGTATACCCTCCGCACTCTCACCTCTGCGTCTGCGGCGCCGAGACTGAGGGATGATTGGAATGGGTATAACGGGCGGGAGGCGATGACGGCGTATCCGTATGATATGCGGTTCCGGTCGAGAATCTACGGGATTCGGTGCCGGTACCTTAGTCGAGCTGCGCAAGTGCAGCGCGCGATGGAGAATGTGAGGCTGGGGAGGGAAGTGCTGCCCATGTCGGATCCGACGGGGTTGGAGGCGACGTGTCGGGCGCAGATGAGGGAGTATGAGCAGGCGAGGAGGGAGTTGCGAGGAGGGAGTTGCGAGGAGGGAGTTGCGAGGAGGGAGTTGCGAGGAGCGGTGCCGGGGGTGGGCGATGAGCCGTGGATTGCTGGTGTGAAGGGGATTATGAGGACGGCGGCTCATCAACCGTTCAGGGTTTGGGGGTTTATTGGGTATCGTGTGTCGTATGGGCATTCTGATGAGGAGTGGAAGGCGTTTCTGGGGAAGTTTAGGGATGATGTTACGGCGTGGGGGGAGGGTGTTGATGGGGCTGGTGATGTAAAGCCTATGTGCAAGGTGCGGTGGATTGATGGGCGGGAGCATGGGATTCCCGAGGGGGACGTCGAGGCGGCGAAGAGGTGAGTTTACTCGTTGATTGGGAGTTTGATGTGAGATTCGGTTACTGACGTTTCTCAGGCATTATGGAGAGTATTGCAAGTCTCCGGCATGCGAGGGCTTCATGACTATCAGCGGAGGCGTCTTCCTAGTCGCGGATAAGGCGTCTATGGATTCATACTTGCACCCAGTCAAAGATGATGCGGAACCGATCATCCCACGCGGTGACCTGGGACCTTTCGTCTTGGTGGCCAAGCCGGATGCCGAGGATAGTGAAGCTAGGGCTCCTTCATCGGGGAGCAGGGGGCCGCATCGAGACATAGATGCAGCTGGAAGACCGACGATAAGGCGGGATTGGAAGTTTGATGGCACTGTGAGAGTACTCGGGACGGTCTTGTTCGACGATGTTTGGGCGCTGTTGTCACGGAACTCTGTGAAGCTGCCGGATTTGGCACAGATGGCGCAGGTTCACCCAAGGCAGGTCTACGTTGGGCCGAGTGTGCCGTTGGAAAGGGACGGGTGGCGGACGGCGGGTGAAATGGGGTTGACGGTTTTCAAGTCTTTTGAGAAGTGGAAGAACTCGTGAGGGCGTCTTGAATACATCTGTAATTGTATGCGATGATGAGCTGTAATGAAAAGATTCCCGTGGCCGCTCAGGTGAGCAAGGTAGCAACTGTAGGGCTATTTGAGACGAGGAGCCCATCGAGACTGCTCACTTGTCCGTCTTGTTCGTGAGTCTGCGGCACTAAATATGTTCACTTGACATAGAACGCGGGGGGGGGGCTCTTTACTCCGATGCGTCGTACTTTGGACAATGGCTATCGAGGCAGCATGGTAGACGATGAGCCATGGGCACCCATTGTGATGTAAGATGAGAGCGCGTGTTTTCTAGTAAGCGATTACGTCTACATTGGGCTGGCATTGCCATGCACGTTGAAAGCCGATCATCCACACCGCGATACCGCAAGGATACTCCGAGGTTAATTGAGAATCTCAGACGTGAATGATTGTCTGCGTGCGTCAATCCAGCCTCGAACACCCAGTCGTTGAAGTCTCTCCATCTCACAGGGATGACGCCCTGTCAGCTGTAAGCCGTCGCCTTAGCAGTAAGCTTAAATGAAAGCTCCACCAAGCTCAATCATGTTTAAGGCATGGATGCCTGGACGCCGACTCACCTTCTCCCGTCAATGGCGCTGCTAATCAATGGCAACTTGAGTCACTTGCACAGAAGATGCGCCTGAAATTCTTCATTTGAAAGGGGAAATGCCGTCGTTCATGAATTGTTGTGGTATTTAAGACCAATGCTAGTGAGCGTAGCCCAGCTGTGTTGGCGGGCTGATGGCGAGACAACATGGGCGACTTTGAGAAGCCTCACGAGGTGTGGACGAAGTTGTTTCATTCTTGTCATGCCACGTCTGATTGGTACGTAGGACCAAGTCCAATGAGTGAATACGAGGAAATAGACATTTCGTCCGTGAGGGGGAGGCGAACAACATATAGACTTCAAATTTCGTGAGTCAATGTGAGCGGCATTGAGATGCTTAGGCGGACCTCCGCAATCATGCGACACGAAGGGCGCTGAGCGGCGAAAAAGACTCCTGGACGGTGGCGGTGACCATACTCATTCTCAACATCGACGACAGCTTCGTTTGTCTTTACACAATGTTATCATAGGCTCCCGCATACACGATTGAGATTTAGATCTTTTCGATCGAAGGCATCTTAGGCACCTCCAAAGCAACCTTGAGAACATGAACCGCAAGGTTAGAACAGGCCAATAAACTAAGAATCCTTCCCGGCGCTTGTGTGGGATGGCCATTATTGTTAGGACGCGAGGAACTCCGCAGCTGCAGCACAGCACAGCCCCCGAGCTGAAGCTGACTGAGACCCTACCACCAATAACACAGATAGAAACTCAGTGAAGATCGTCCATCTCCCTTGGAACAAAACCCATCAGTTTCCCTGGTGAGAAGCTCTTGGGATTCCTGGTGTTGTGACTCGTAACAGCCACATCGCCGGCAGCCAAGTAGAGACCTCGACTACACAACATCCACGGTTGAAATAGAACAGTCGCAGAAATGGATCATTCAACAGTAGAGCCATTATCGCCTGTTTCGCGGCATCTCATGCGACCGGTACTACTCGTGCTGGCGTTCCTCTTCGCGCTCTTCGTCGCTCTAGTCCAGATCCTCACTCTCACGGCCGGCACCTGGGTAGTTCGCGGCAGCAACGGAGCTCAACATCTCGGCCTATCGAGCCTCGCCATTGTAAAGGTAAGCAGAAGACTCTGCCGCGACCTGTCACGAGAATCCCGCGAACTTGGAACTAACCCCACAAACCCGCAGTTCGAGGGCATCATCCCATCAGACACCAACCCAAACGCCTATCTCGTAACAATGCACCAATTCGCCGCCTCCTTCGCCTACACCTACCCATCCAAATCCCTCGCAGGCACCCTCGACTCATCCCCCCACCTCCCCTACGACCTCGGCGCCGTCGCCCACGCCCTCCGCCTCCCCGAATCCGAATGGGCATGCTACCACTACGCCCAAGACGCCTGCGTCAACAACCCCTTCCTAAGCGCCTTCCGCAACTCGTGGCTCATCCTGCCCACCGCGACAGTCAACATCGCCCTAATCTACGCGCTCGTGGTGGTATCCTACCTCTTCATCACGGAGCTGCTCATCGCCGTACGGCCGAGCTGGCTGCGGTGCCAGTGCTACTTCTCCTGCATCAAGCGCGTGTGTCCTTGTCCGCGCGGGACGAGGGCGGAGATTGAGGCGCTACCGGCCGGGTTTTGGGATCGGTATCGTGGGTGGTGCTGGTTTATGTTGCCGGCTGCTGCGTTTTTGCCGGCGTTTACGTTGAGGATGAATGGGATGCTGCTGAAGGAGTATGTTAATCGGCCCAGGGGCCTGGAGGGAGATGTGAATGGGAGGTTCGGGACGGGATTTGTGGTTTTGCAGGCGCTTTGTTTGGGGGCTTCGATTGCGGGGGCTGGGTGTATGGTGTTGAGGAGGCGGTTGGGGCGGAAGAGAAGTTGGATGGAGGAGCAGGGTGTTGGGTTGAAGAGGGGGGCGTAAGTTTGAGATCTTCGAAAGTCGAGGTCAAAGAGAAACATAGAAGAATGGGTTACCTCCGGTTGAATGAGAACTTTGAAGCTCTGATCCGATCCGATGCCGTGCCGGTCCGGGAGAGAAACCGGAGTTCCTAGGTGGAGTGTAGAGCCGGCAACCCGCAAAATGTCCACTTAAAGCCGGCGATGTGACGCTCGGCACCGCTCCACTGCGTCAGATCCGATCTGATCTGATCTCAGCCATGTAGTGAGCATTGGGTTACCTTGTGTGCGTGTATGCTTGTGTGCCTCTCAAGTTGTCACTCATAAGAAATCGCACCTGTCCAATTCGCACCACGCCTCGTCTCCAGCCCACAGATGGAAATGTCTCACTAGCTCGCCATTCTCTGGAGAACGGGATGCGACTAAGCCCCATTGACGAATCATGGCCTCATCATTCATGTTTGGTCCCTGCCGATCGGCTGTGGAATGTCTGTTGATCTCCGCAAGCGCATACCGCTTGCACCACATGCTGATGTCATTGCCCGCCTGAGAAGCTGTCATCGATTTACGCCTCGCATGAGACACCATTGCGCGAAAGAGACAGTGAGAAACCTAGGTTAAGCGGGTTAGCTGGTCTCGCGGATGATGCCATGAACTCGTCACAGGCAGTTGATTAAAACAAAGCTGAGCTCTGAGCTTGGTAGTCATCGGTTTCGGAGCTCCTATTCCTGCCCTTACCGGGTACTTTGCATTACTTACATCAACACATTGGCGAAGAAACTCTACAGCACTTGATCTTGTAGCAAACTTACTTCATCTCAAATTCAATTCTTGTTCGTCTCTTCGAAACAAAGAATACAATCACCAAAATGTCCCGCCAAAACTACGCAGTCCCCCTTATGGGCGCAGCAGCCCTCCTGGGAGGCGGCATCTACTACGTCCGCCAACCCTCCTCAAACCCAGGCGACGCCGCCCAACAAATCGCAAACAACGCAGACAACTCCCGATCGACCTCCGATGCCGTCACCGAGCAGCGTAAAAAGGCCGCGGACGCGAAACGCGACAACGGCCTAGGCGGCGCTGGCATCGGTACCAACACGGGCGCCACGGGCGGCGCGGAGTTGAGTACCGGCAATCGAGGCGGCAGTGCCGCCGACCGCGATACCCCCAAGGGGCCCAAGGACAAGTTTCCCTCTGACGCGGGCGAGATTGGAGGCGGACCTGGCAGGGGCAACTCGAATACTAGGGCGATTGAGACGCATGGTCCTTCTATGACGCCTGGGTCGAAGACGTTGACGGGGGCATTGAGCGGGAAGAGCAACGGGCCGAGTACCTCTGGAAGCAGTGATAGCGGCAGCTCGGGAGAGGGAATCGGGTCCAAGATACAAGGCTTCTTTACGAGTTCGAGTAAGGGGAACGAGAAGGTCAGGCAGTCTCCGGTTGACACCAAGATTGTGAGCCATTCGCCTGATACTCCGACAAACCGTGGTGGAAGTCCGTGGGATAAGGAGCGAAGGGACGTGGTCAACCACAACCGCTCATAAGCTTAATAAGACAATGACTTATTTGTACTACAGTCATCAGCATTAAGAATGAGGTCGTTTTTGATGTCGTTAACTCAAAAGTCTCAGAACCTTGCACCAAGCTTCTTCTCATGCTCCATCTGCCGCTCATCCACCACAATAACAGCCTTACCGCTCATCTTCCCCGTATGCACAAGCTCAACAAGCTCGTGAATCTTGTCCAACCCATGAAAGACATTCGTCTTGAGAGTGATCCCGTTCTTCGCAACATGCTCCATCAAGCCCACACTCTCCTCCCTCGAACACAATAGACTGCCCTTAACCCTCACATCCCGAAACACCAACTCCTGAAACGGAATCTTCACCTCGTCAGGCTGCGCAATCTGTACCACAGTCCCATGCATCCTAGTCACCGCGCACGCCAACCCCGCAGCAGAGTCCGCATCAGACAAGTTGAGCGTGGCATCTACACCCTCCCCTCCATTCGCGGCATCCCGCGCCTCCTTCAAGACATCCTCCTTTCCCCTTCTCGCATCAAGAACCACATCCGCGCCGCTCGCTCTCGTCAACTCCAATCCTTCATCCCTCGCATCGATGCCAATAACACGCAAGCCCAGAGCCTTGGCCATTTGGATCCCCAGATGGCCCAACCCGCCTCCTGACCCAACGATAGCAAGCCACTGGCCTTTCTTCAGCCCGGCCTGCACCACACCCCTCCAGACCGTCCTCCCAGCACAAGCCAGCGGCGCGGCACTGAGGAACGAGATTGCCTCTGGAATTAGCACGGTAGACCGGGAATCAACTTTGACATACTCCGCAAAGCAGCCGTCAACATGGACCCCGACGTGGCCTTCGATGCGACTGCAGTACTGCCGAAAGGTCTCCGGCGCGGAAGTACAGTCGAAGCAGGAACCACAAGGATGGAGCGGGAGACCGCACATGACTCTGTCGCCAACTTTGAAGTCGAAGTCCGGGGACGCGGCCGAGCCGACGGCGACGACGGTGCCGGAGCCTTCGTGGGATGCGGTGCAGGGGAGGGATGTGTTGAAGATACCGGAGGAGACCATGCTGTCTGTGTGGCAGTAGGATGCGACTGCTATTTTGACGAGGAGATCGTGAGGCGCCAAGGAGGTTGGTGAGGGTACGGGTATGGTTTGAATCTCGTAGGGGCTGTTGAAGGATGTCACGCGGATTGCCTTCATGGTTTTGGGGACGTTTGAGGTGGCCATCTTTGCGGTTTGGGTGATTGGGATTTGACTGAACTTTTGGAATCTTGGGTGAAGACAAAGGGCTGTTGTTCGTTTCGTGGGCAAGTAGATGTGCTTTCTTGCTGATGAAGTTTTGGGTTGAGATAGGATGGTGTTGTTGAAGATGTGATGACGTCGAAATTTTGAAATGGTTTGTTTAGCTTCCCCCGCCGGATCCAAGGCGGTCCGAGGCCGACTATCCTGGGCTAGGATATCGGATCCGATGGTTCACCATGGATCTGCCGAGTTTGATATTCTAGGAGAAGGCGACGTCGTAACCTTAAATCTTCTGGACCATGCACCGATGTAACATCACGTCGTCGGCCTCGTACAGATAGTTCGATGCTCTGATAATATTGCCGTTGGAACCTGGAGTGCCGAGAGATTCAGAAACTGCCCATCTACCGGATCCCATGTTGATAATGAATGCCGTAGACTGTGAGTCGCCTCAATGCGCCTGGAACTCATTGATGCCAACTGAGCGTTTCGTCAGACAGAGGCAGTGTGGGGAGGATTTCAACGGTCGTCAGGGAACTGAAGATTCTCCAGGTCGACGATGGACTTGTCTGTCACTTCCCTCTGCCCAAGATTCAGGCGCCTCTATCAACGGCTCGCCCACTGTACATGCATCCGTCTGCCTGTTGTTCTAACTTGAGATGGATGGCCCTTTGCCGGAGATCTTTCTCGGCCCAAGATGACTGCGCCCTGCGGAGGAAAGTGCGGAGGAATTCAAGCTCCGGAGTCTAAGCCATCCACCCCGGGAAGCGGCCGGCGTTCGGTGTAGCCCCGCCAATCGCTCCGGCCACCGGGTCCGCACCGAGCCACCGACGGGTCGGGTCACCGAGTCACCGGTTCACCGAGGTGAGTCGAACCCGCGAGGGTTTCTTATTCCCGTAGCGCTGCAGCATCGCTGCTCACCCTGCAATCTTCTTTTAAGCTGCCTACCCCAGTTTCAACCTTTTTAAGTAACCAAATTTCCGAACGCGAACTCCCACCCACCCAGGCATCGCGACAAGCATCTAGACCAGACTATCGACCTCGTCTGCTTTATAGGAAATATCAGGATAATGAGAGGACGAATGACACCATAAACACTAACCGAACATCATCCCCAAGCCCCCAGCTGTCCCAGTTCCACCCTTGGGTACTCCGTATTCGTCGACTGACTCTTCTCCCATCGCAAGCTTTGCGCTGACTGCGCGCAACACGGGATTCCTCGACTCGTCCTCTCGTTTAAGCTTTGCCAACCCTCAGGATGACCCCTGCTCCGAATCCCCAAAAGCTTAGAGACACCTCGAGACGTTTCACCGAGAATAATTTGCACCAATAAGCAGAGCGCAACCCCCCGGATAGGACGGCCGTGTTCATCTGATCACAAACCCTTTGAGAATCCGGTTAGCCGTCTTTTAAACGAGTTCAATAAAGCTGACTTGCGCCCCATCCCTTCACTTTTGTGCGGCGTCACGCAGACCAGGACCAAGTGCCGGCATCCCGTCTTGGGCCCGCGTCTGGGCAACTTACCATCATTCTGGAAGAAAAGAACTCCAGGTCCTATTCAGGAACAGGGCACACACCGCACGGCGCGAATGGGTCCGCCGTCGTAACCCTCTCTTAAGCCTTACAAGCGCACCCGTCGGCGGACCCGTTCCAAAGGGGAAGAAGTTGTGCACTTCAACGCAGGGTTACTAGTTGGACTCAGCTTCGTCCCTTTTTTCTCCCTCCCTTACTCTCTGAGTCTCTCGCGCCATCTTTCCCACGAGGCGCCAGACGCCTCAACTCGGGCCACAAGAGGGGACGAGTTTGCTCCTTTTACCTTCTTCATTAATATTACCTCCAGGTTTACTACCCGAGTTGCTGTGTACGGCGACTCGGGTCGTATTTGCGCGCCGAAAAAGGTAAGACACCTCCGCTGGGAACATCTCAGCTTGGAAGCTCCATACTCCGCCCTCAGTCCGCGTGGTCGGTGGCCCAACTCTCAGTCTCCACGATGTTGAAGACGGGCCACTCTCAACGATGAGAGCCCGCGATTGGCGGAGATTTTCCTTGCTCGACGACGGCCATCGTGAAACACGAAAGACAGAAAGCCCCCCATCCCCTCCTACGCCCCTTTCTTAGCACACAGCAGCCACTGAACCAGATTGATTGTATTGCGCCATCGGCTGGCCTTAAGAAGTGGAGAGGGGCGAGGGATGGCTGTAGTTTGGACGCTTTACGCTGGCAATCAACGGCTCGGTCTCTGCTTAGCAGCAGTGTCATGAGAGTACTACGACAACCAGTCTATCAGGTGAACTGTGTATGCCCAATGACAAAAGATCTGAACAGGCCTCTCCCCTTTACACTCATAGCTCAAGTCAGCGAGATGAGCCAGCGACGGAGATTCGAGGAACACAGCCACCAGGCCTTTTCGAAACGAAGCAGCGCCGTCTCTCCTCCGTGTGCGGGGCGGTGAGGAGCCCCGATGTGACCTCAAGTGCCGCTGCGAGCCTGCGGCTCGTCTGATTGTTGGTCTTTCTTTTCCTTGCCCTGCAGCCGCTCGCTAACGTAAAAGTCTACTTTATATGGCACACCACGAGGACCGGCCCCCTGTTGTCAACCTACGCCGCTTTCTCGTGATCGTCGTCTCGCCCAGGACTCGACCGAGAGGGGAGGTCCCGGTCACCCGGACGAGTGGAAACACCCTCGTTGACTGTGACTGGTGTATCTTCCATATTGGCGATATTGAGGAGGCGTATAGGCGATCGTTGGAAACAATTGAACCGGGGTCGAGGGGTTGCACTAGTTGATATTGGCTGGAAGATGGGATTTCCCACGTATCCCGGCCCTGACGGAAAGCTTGTCAAGAGTCAGTTAAGAGCCACTCTGCTGTAAGCCATTATAAGGCAACGCTTCCCATCCTGTGAAGGTTTTCGTCTCATCTCCTCACGGCACACACATCCCTTGCCTCGGTCTGAAACCTCGTCACTCTTTACAGTCATTCTCTACTACCAAACGATACGATGCGCGCCAACATCGCCCTTGTCGCCGGCTTCCTAGGCCTGGCCTCCGCCCTCCCCACCGATACCGAGAGCGTCGAGAAGCGCCAGACAGTCCCGACCATCTACCTCTGCGGCGACAGCACCACAGCCAAGGGCGGCGGTGGCTCCGGAACCGAGGGCTGGGGCCAGTTCCTGCAGTACTCCTTCTCGACTAGCAAGGCCAAGGTCGACAACCGCGCCATCGGCGGCCGCAGCGCGCGCTCCTACACCCGCGAGGGCCGCTTCGACACCGTTGCTGGGCTCGTCAAGTCGGGCGACTGGGTCGTGATCGAGTTTGGACACAATGATGGCGGCTCGCTTACGCCTACCGACAGTGGAAGGACGGATTGCTTCGGGGATGGTACTCAGACTTGCTCGACTACCTACAAGTGAGTTTTCCTGAGACCTCCATTTCGTGAAGAAAAAGATGCTGACAGTTTGTGTAGTGGTGTTGCCGAGACGGTTCTCACCTACCCTGCGTACCTCAAGAACGCTGCCAAGAAGTTCAACGCTGCTGGCGCCAAGGTATGATCACCGACTTGGATCTTTGATCTCACGTCGACGTTTGACTTACACTCATCTCACAGGTCATCATCGCTGCCGCGACACCCAACAACGTCTGGGAGACTGGCACCTACAAGTTCGGATACGACCGCTTCTTCTACTACGCATGGTAAGCCCTCCCATCCACTTCCCGTCCCTCGACGACCAGACTAACATCGTAAACCCAGGCTCGCCGTTGAGCAGCTCGGCGGCCCCTCAAAGGGCTACTACTTCGTCCCGCACGGCGAGTACGCCGCCCAGGCGATGAAGGGCCTCGGCGCGACCACCACCAACGCAAACTACCCCAACGACCACACCCACACCGCGCCCTTCCTCGCCGACGCCATTCACAAGTCCTTCGTCCTCGGCCTCAAGTGCGGCACCACCGCCCTCGCCTCGCTCGCCAAGAACACCACTGCTTCTCTGACGTCGACCTACCTCGGCGGTTGCGTCGACACCTACAACTCCACCGTCCACGCTCTTCTGCGATAAACGGACTATCTTTCCCGTTCATATTTGTTCAAACCTCCATCTCAAGTATATAACACTTGAATTCATGCACATACTACTTTAGGTCCTCGAAACTTGTTCGGAGTCGATGGCGATTGCTCCTCCGACCGGGGCGTACATACATCAATGCACATAACACTTCTGCTCAGCCTCTCATATTCTTCCCGTGTAACTTGTGACCTCGATTTGATTCCTCTTTGATACTCTGATGATCCCATCCGAATATCATCCAATAGAAAGCGCGTGTCTTGGCGACCTGATGACTAAATCTATTCAGATTCCAACTGAGTGTGTATATATGTGGGGTCACGTATCCCCCAAATCTGAGGAAAGTCACTTCACCAACAACACCACCGGTCCAAAGCATTTGCCGATACCTTTGAACATCTATGCCATCACATGTAATGTCGACTGCCGATATCTCACCTCCACTTATGAGCTTCAATGGAGTCTCCGCCGTGTCTACTCAGATGACAATCTTACCCGAAACAAGCTTTTTCAAACAGGGGCGTGCGCCTGTGTCACGAAAGAGGTATCCCATCGAGTGCTGAATGGCAACAGTACATCCCCCCCCCAATTATTACCCACTTTTCCCCCTCACAACAGCGATACATGACGGTACGTCATTTACCCCTATGGGTTCCTCCCTATTTTCACCACCAAGACCGACATTTTCCTATGTGATGAAACGTCGCGATGACTTCTAGCGATTCCGAGGGGTCGGTACGGTCGTGTATCAACGTCGCCGTACTTCCCGAAGACCTAGCCGCTGCCTGTACTGCTGACTGTACACCCGAGAGATGCGATAATGCGGTCGTACGCCCATATGAGCCCCCATCCCTCGAAAGGGGCAGCGTATTCAACCCCTTCAACGTACCCGAGCGGAAGCCGACAATACGAGAAATAACTCTGTTCCGTGGCAACAGCATATAAGGGTCTCGCGGAAGAGCGCCTCCGCCTGCGTTGCGTGTAATCGGCCAAAGAAGGCGCTTAGCGAAGTCTCAGGAAACTCACGATCCCATAGGAAGAAGACGAGGTCAGGGTGTGAGCAGTGTGGGGTTGCGATTTGTAACTCAGAAGATTGCTGGTACCTATTTCATAACCAGAATATATAGACGGAAGAGGTACTAGAAAACTAGGCCTTTTGATTGGTTGGAAAAAGGCTTGGCTGGTCTCTGAGTGGCTATTACCCCTCACTGGATGTACTGTTGCCATTCAGCACTCGATGGGATATGCTGATTCGTGACAGCCTGCGCTTCCTATACCAGCTGAGGTCAGGGCCCGCAACGAAGAGTCGGATGATATCTATGGTACGAGCTTCGATCGCTCACCGCCTGTTATATTCTCTTCCCTAGGATTGTTTGTCAAGTACGGGGGCGATGTCACGATCATCGAGGCCCAGACCCAGAAGATGGTGTACGAGCGATTGCAAGGCAAAGTACCCGTGCCCGAGATCTTTGGCTGGGCGGAGGATGACGGGCAGAGGTTTATGTACATGTCCTTGATAGAGGGAGTGACTTTGCAAGACAGGTGGCGCGACTTGATAGAGGACGAGAGGCGCGTCGTTTGTGAAGAACTCAAAGGAATGGTAAGGGCGCTGCGAGCTTTGAAGCAAGATAGTCATGATCGATTTGTTGGCGAGTGGATCAAAAGCTCCGTTATACTTTGCAAGCCATTCTAACATGGCGTCCCGTCCTTCAGGCAGCCTGGGCAAGCAACCCCTGAACGAGATCTTGACATCCCACCCAGATCTCAGAGGACCATTCGTAGGCTTCAATGCCGTTCAGCAGTTTCACGACGCCTGCGATATCGAGATTGATGGCGACATGCAAATTGTGTTTTCACACGACGATCTCGTCCCGCCCAATGTCGTCTTATCGCTAGGGCCAAATCCGAAAGTGGCAGCCATCATTGACTGGGGCCAGGCAGGATGGCTTCCCGCTTGCTGGGAATACTGCAAGGCAAAGCAGGTGAGGCTCAATCCGAAGGATTTCAGTGATGTTGTCGGCCATTTTGGATCCGGTGGACGACGAGACATACTACCATCCTTGGCTACGTTTTGTGTTGTCCAAGGGCATTTAATTAGCACCTCTTTACTGAATGAGTGTTCCCTCACAAATATGAAGATGATTGTGATGTAGAGCAGAATGTCGTTCATTGATCATGGAAGGTAGTAAAAGTTACATGGTGATCTGACATGCTGCCCGTGACCGTCTATACTACCGATAAATCCATCACACATAGCAGGCATGTGTCAAGTTGGGATGTTGACGCAGGGTGGAAGCTCTCAGAGGCCAACTGCAGTTAGGGGTAGAATGATGAATTACTGAAATCTACTCCTCCCTCGACGTGTACTCCCTGCGCTGTATATATATCTGAGCTGCTCCTTTGTTGCTTGGACTCCTTACTACCTCTGACTAGCCCCTATCCGGGAGGGCTCTGACAGCATGATACTAGGAATGATAATACACGCGAACATTGAGACCAGAAACATGCTGCACTAGTCCTTCCCTCGATTAATAGTCTTGAATGCAGAAAAACCCCTCCACGCTAGAGAATGAAAGATTCACTTCTCCAAAGGGTTTCCGTTTGCGACATGCGAAGTTGGGTGACGAGGGGACAGAAGAAAGAGGTTGATTTTGTTAAGCTCCAGCAATGAGATACGCTGCAACTCTCCTTTCTCTTCGGTGGTGAGTAATGAGTGCATTTGGCGACGAAGATGTATCAAGAGTCTCTTTGTCTCGTTGCTTGCTGATAAGCTTGGAGTAATAGGATCCAGCTTCCAGTCAATTTTCTCCTGTTTAGTGTTCCCTTTGACCCTCGAATAATTCTGTCAAGACACTTTTGCAGTCCGAGAATCCCCCGCTATGCTACCCCGCTAGTGTGCCGCGTCCCCGGGTTGACGCCATAACCGCGTTTTCGGGATCAACCATCCATCACGTTCGCACCACACCGTGTCACCTTGTGGACACACACTAGCGATGCTGTCTCACCCATGAACTCAAAAAGGCGGTTGCGAATGGTTATCGAGGCTGACTGGAATGCGCCTCCATCAGCAAGGGGTCCTGCGGTTGCCAGGGATGCTCTCATTGCTGACAGCCTTGGACTAGGACGGATTGCAGCTGGCGGAGCTGAATGCTTATCGGAATGCTCATAATTGGCCAGAATACGGCCACAGGAATTCCTGCGATGCGCCGAGAAACGCGGGTGCCGGCATAATGGAGTTGATGTGGTCATTCTCCAACATGGCCGGGAGAAGTTTGCTCAGCCTGATTTTAATGTTGTTTGCACCTTGACTGACAATCGACTTGAGATCTCAGGATATTCAAGTTGCCATCACCACTCCCAGCCAAGGAGTAGAGGCTAACAGCATCACCCAGCTTGGTATCGGCGAAGCCAGCAACAGAGATAGAGATTTGATCACACAGAGTTCACAGAGAGAGACTCTCACCACGCCGCCATCATGGCTCCCGCCGACAGGATCTCACTCGAGTTCATCACCACCGGCAACGTCTGGATGCACACCCAAATGCAAGGGCAACCCATAGAAAACCGCAACATCGCCCTCCGCTTCCTCCGCTCCTTCACCGGCGACTGGATCGGCCCCATGCCCCTCGGCGCATTCCTCATTCATCACCCAAAGGGCCCCATCCTCTTCGACACGGGCGTCTCGACGCACTGTACCGAACCGGGCTACTTCCCCTGCTGGAACCCCGTGCCGGGCATCCTCAACAAGCTGCAGGTTACAAAGGAGGATGGCATCGTCACGCAACTCCGGAAACGCGGCATCGAGCCGACGGATCTCCAGTTCATCATCATCAGCCACCTCCACCACGACCATGCTGGCGGACTAGAGATTCTTGCTGTTGAGGCGCCCGAGGTGCCTATTTATGTCGGCGGAGAACACTGGGATGCGTTTGGGAAGCATCCTGTCTATGCTGCTATGCAAGGGTGCACGCCGGACCGGTGGCCCAAGGACTTTGAGCCGTGGATTCTCGACTTTGAGGAGAAACGCACCGTGGGGCCGTGGGGCCGGTCGTGTGAGCTCGCGCCGGGCGGGACGATCGTTGCGGTCGATACGCCGGGCCACGTGCCGGGGCACATCTCGTTGATCGTGGTGGGAGATAATGACGATGGGAGCAAGACGAAGTACTTGCTGACGGGGGATGCGACGTATGCAATTAGTGTGCTGGACAAGGAGGAGCCGGATGGTGCGAATAGTGATCCCGTGGCGGCTTTTGAGAGTTTGAAGAAGATCAAGGCGTATGCTAGGGATCACGATGTCGTAGTGCTGCCGAGTCACGATCCGGATACGCCGAGGTTGCTTAGGGATAAGGTGGTCTACCGGCCGGGCAAGTAGATGGGCGGGAGGGTCGAAAGTCGAGTTATGGTGCTTGTGGCGAGGACACTGGAGATATCACGGCTGTCAGTCGTAGTCTCAAGTGTGATACTCAACAGAACAGCAATTTAGTGTATCACCCGATGGGAGAGACGACCCTGCTTCGAGGGGGATTCGTAATGCAGGATGGGACAGGCACAATGACAGACAGCGGGAATCTATAAGCAATTCGTCACCATATCCACGAGCTTGAAACAATCGAGGCAAATCGCGGTGGATGTATCCGCAGCGGGACGGCAAGCTTAGGCCGGCGGTCCACAACAACGACAATCGATCTGTGAGCGAAGTGGGGGGAGATGCGGCTGCAAAGGATCGTCGGAGCCTACCTACTATTAGTAGAGTTTCATGCCTGCATCACAATACCCAGTTCATGACGATCCTCATGTTCTCACTATATCTCTGAAAATCAGTTGTCATCACTCAGGATGCCTCGATGACCGCAACTATGAGTATGCCAGCTTCCTCAGGTTGTCAGACTGAGAATGTTTCCTCGTCAAGGCCTCTTCAACACCCATGCCCGTGTCAACGCCTAGCTTGAGTCACGGATGGGGAACTAGATGTTCGTGCTTTTGTTAACGGCTTAGAGACATCCCTGCTATATCCTGGATAACCGTAGAAATGGAAGGAAGTGTGCCCTCAAGCATGTTGATATCTGGGACTGGAGCTGCCAACAGGGAACGGATGTCTCGTGAGTAACGTCTCAAGACTGATGTTCAATTCTATTAAGTGCATGGGGAATCTATGTTATGCATATCTATATCTGGAAACCCACGAACACGCTCTCAAACTCGGCACAAACGGCCATTTTGGGTCGAGAAGCCGTCAAGCTGGCGTGTGATGTACCAACTCTCGCTGCCCACACCCAAGTTGGCATAGAAGACACCGGTGGGATCAATCTTCTGCTTGAATGCGAGCAGACGAGCATACTTCTCGGTCCTGTAGAAAGACTGCTGGTAGTCAGGCTCAGTCACGTCACCCTCGCTGGCATATCCGCCACCGCCAGGAGTAACGTCCCGCCAAGGCTGCATCCACTCGTTGGTCAACAGCTTCGACTTCTAGGCGACAACCTCGGCGGGCGTGCCAACGTCCCAGCCCATGACGGAAATGGCAAACATGGCAGAGCCACGCCACGCCGGGTTGACAGCGTTATCGGGGTAAGGGCCGGGGCCGCCGGTGATACCGAAGCCGATAATCTGGCCGCCCTTATCGCTGAGACCCTTGAGGGTCTCAAAGGTAGCGTTGAACTTGGTGGCGTCGGAGAAGTTGTCCGTGGGGAAGAGACGGCACGCCGTCTTGGCGGCCGTGCCGCCGACGGACTCCTTGGGGAACCCGGCCTTCCAGGCGGGGAGGAAGCTCTTGTGCTCAGTGTAGACGGGTTCGACGGTGATGCCGAGCTCCGTCCACTTGGCGAATAGCGGGGCAGTGAGCTCCTTGAGTTGGACGAGAGTCATATTGGGGGCGAACTAGGGGAGCATGGTGAAGGTCAGGGCATCGGGGCCGGTGTGGAAGATGTTCCAGTACTCGTAGTTGCCGGCCGCATTCCAAGTGGGAAGTCCTTCCCAATAAGCCTTGACGCCTGCCCAGAAAGCTTCGTGGCTAACGGTATCGCTGGTGCCGAAGCTGAAGGTCATGACGGCGATGGTGTCGATCTTGGGGTAGACCTTGACGACATATGAGGTGACAACACCATACGTGCCTGGGCGCATGGTCAGCTTGTGTTACTTCTTACAGGGATAGCTCAACTTACTTCCACCACCACCACGAAGAGCCCAGAACAGCTCGGTGTTCTGCTTCTCGTTAGCAGTAACGAAACGTCCATCGGGAGTAACGACATCGATGCTCAAGACCTGATGGAAACTTATATCAGTACGGTGATATCAAATACAGGAGATGACGAGGCATCCTTACAGAATCGGCAGCAATGCCGTACTTGGGCGACAGCGGTGAGTGACCACCACCAGCGAGGTAGCCTCCAGCATAGCCGACAGTCATACCCTCGCCTCCGACGGCAGTGACACCGTACTTCTCAGCCGCCTCATACAGCTCGAAGCCCTGTACACCGGCACCGACCTTGATGGCGGGACCAGAGTAAGACGAGGTGGGGTAGGTCTGATAGAAGTTGATGCTCTTGAGGCGGTGGGTCCAGATGGAGAGAGCACCGGATCCAGAGGAGCGACCATTGAAGTCATGGCCGGTGTTCTTGACCACGAGGCGAATGTTAAGGTTGCGGGCAAAGTTGACAGCGAGCTGGATCTGCGCAACATTCGTAGTCTTGACGACATACGAGGGGAAGCCGCCAACGGTGCAGGTGCCGGCGGAGCTGTTGTCGACTGAGGGCGGCATGCAAGTCAGGCCCTGGTACAGAGGGCTCATGACTGAGGTCGGGTCCTCGGCACTTCATATTTTCATTAGCACGATGGAATCAAATTGTAGAGGCAAGGAGGCTTTGACTTACTGGATCGTAGAGTTAGTCCACTGGTTGGTGATGTACTCGCAACGAGTGGCATCATAATTGCCAAAGTCATCAAAGCAAGAAGCGCCGATAGGCACCGTCTCGCTGACAGCAAATCCAGTCAGGAGGCTGAAGACACTCCATACTGCCTTGTTCGGCCAGAGCAGGTCTCCAGGGTACGTCTTGCACTTGTTGAATGTGCGGGCTGTTCCAGAACGCTTCTCCCCGGCGGCAGTGGTGTCAAAGTCAAAGAGGGAGATGTTGGAGAGGGAGAGGTCCGTGAGGTTGTCCAGAACGGCGTCCGTCAGCTGGACGCTCTCTTCCTTCAAGAGGTCGGTGGAAGTGGCAACGACAACGGGCTCAGCAGCTGGGGCCACTGTGGACTTGTTAGCTTCTACACCACGGGTAGTAGGTTAGTCATGATGCCAGTCACAGAGCACGCGCATATGAACCCTCAGGGGTTTTCAGACTGCAAAGTCAAATTGCAAGATCAACATACCGATTACTGCATCGTCATCCACAATGGTCTGAGCGTACGCCAAAGGCAGGGCAGCGGCCAGGAGGGGGGCCTGACTGAGTCGAGACATGTTGTGTGCCAAGAGATTTGGGGGTTCAGAACTTCAGACTGAAGGAGTAAAAGATTGGACAGAGGGCGCGACAAGGAACGGGGTTGCGTGCTTGTCAGACAGGAACCTCCAATGGTTGATCACCGGGTGTGTGGCTGGCGGTGCGCCGGGAGAGATGCGAGCGAGCAGAAGAAACGAAGCAGTACACCCACGGGATTTATAACATCCACGTGGAAGCGTTGCATCTTGCCATCCGTCCTTTCCACACCAGTAACACCACGCGTATGGTTCGATAATATGAGCGAGATATCTTACTACCAACGGTCTACTGCCCGTTGTCGATAGTCTACGGTTGGTACTGCCTACCTAAGCCCGCCGACATATCCCGGCATCACAGTCCTTGCATTCGATAGCGGCAGAGGCCACGGGTCCACTGTCCACGACATCTCACCAAATTACGAGGATGACGGACTCAAGGAGGAAGGGACCATTTGGACGAGAAGGGACCTTGGGTCCGCCCCCGGGCAAGCATTGCACCGAGGGCCCGGGTTCGCTTACACAGATCTGGACTTCTGTTTGGGCCGAGGGGTTCGGGGGCAAGTAGACTAGACTCCGATAGAGCAACGTTGGTGGCGAGAGTCGTAAAAACCCGCGCCGGGGGTTGCAACGGCACCACATTAGCAACATCGGCATTGCAAAACTGCGCAAGTAGGAGGTTAGCTGGCGTCACCAGGACCATGGATACAGCTTCTTCTAGACGTCGTCTCCCGAGTGCCGGCGCCGACACTAATGGTTTAAGACCAATGTCTGTGGGCAAACGTCTGCCACATTCTTACGGGTTCATCTCTACGGAGTAGAAATGGTGTTGTCGAGCGGCTGAGGCGTCTGCCAAATTTTAAGTCAAGTCGGATTAGCCTGGTCTATCCGTAGTCTATCCGTACCTATCAAAGTCTCTCTTCCTTTAAGAGGCAGGGTGGCGAAGAGAGTGTCGGGAGCTGGAGATCATTCATATGGAACATGCCTCCCCCGGTGAACCTTCTGCACGCTTTGTCCTCTTCCGGGCACCGTCGCTCCACCGAGTACCTTGTCCGCAACGAAATTCCGGCTGTCCGCGTCAGTGAATCTCCACTGCAGAGTCTACTACGTAGGGATCCCCGAAGAAAGATCTCGGGGTTTGGTGCATTGGTGGGTGAGACTGAGGGATTTGCGAACGAACTGCCCATTATCCACATAATAAGGGATGTGGATAGCGAGCCGTGCCTCTGGCTCTGGGGAAGACATTGAGTTTATCTTTGCGATCTTGCTAATGTCTCATAAGTCGTCAACTAAGCAAGTGCACAGCAAGATCAAATCAAACTGCAGATGAACAATCATATCGGTCATGATTGTCGAAGACATGTCAAGATCGGAGCCAAGGAAAATCGTACGACTTTTTCCCATAGCCCCAAACGCGTCTCTCACTGCAACCCATGGAAGACACCGGAGGAACCCAGGAACTGAAAGGAGAATCTTTGAGAGGATATTTGTCGTCTTAAGGGGGTTTCTTCTCTGCAAATTCGTCCTGCGCCAACGCGGTACAGTAAACTCTGTTTTTCTTCAACCTGTCAGCCAGGTAACATTCGGAAATCACTACTTGGTCGCCAAGGGGTCAGGACACAACCCGAGTCGCTGAAGGACTTCTACGATTCATTCACACTAATCCACTAGTGCTCAAGGAGGACATCAGCTCCACCTCGCTCATCTAATGCCCAACGGTGGTTGCCTGCGTTTCTTCAAGGAAGGGAAAAACTTCCCTCGGCCGAAGCGATGAAGAAAGAGGGGAACGTCGTATTCACAAATCACCGCGTAACAAAAGTGCGAGGTCGCATCCTGAATCTCATTCACCGGCCCCATGTTCCGGACACCACCACGACGCCTTACTCAGATTGTGATGCTATGCGAAGCGAACTAATTCACTTCCCGCCTCAAGACTGCATAGCAGGTTTCTATCCGGTGGGCGTTTGCAGAAATGCGACTCGTGTTGGGCCAGAACGCGGTCGGCCAACAGCAGAACTCAGCCCAGATATATATTGGCCTAGGGTTGGTCGAATTTCCCATGGCGATGACTGGGCATAAGGAGAAAAAGCGAAATATCCAGCAAGTACGAATAAATCGTGAGGCTGTCCTTCGATGAGTATTGGGAAGTAACTACCTTGAACGATAGTAGTATGTGTCTCTGTAGGAACCAGTGATACAGAATGATACTATCCACATGCTGCTTGCCCTTCCGTAAGTAAGGCGCTGCATTATGTGACTCTACACTCTGTCCTCAAATTACCCTACGTCTCATCGTGGCTGGCTTACTGCCCGACTGTGCCATATGAACCATGGATGTCCTAGATGGCACCGAGCAGTTTTTGCCTCTATGGTGTATTGATAGCCCAAATGGAGCGAGGAAGCCGGATTTCAGCCCGGATTGTCGGTATTCAGCTTTCAAGTTATCTGGAATAGTCCGCAGCACCCCTTGTCTAGAGGCAGGAGAAGACTGCAGGAACCTGATAGTCGCGGGCCTGCAGTGTTCGAGAATGCGCCATCCTTGACAGGTTCCTAGCATCTTCTCGGACGCCATCGCTCTATCAACCACTCACAAGTCTTCTTCTTCGTCTTTCGTGAGCCAAGCCTCGGGTACGCAGAGCCCTTGCCTCCTGAAGGAGTATTCCTTGCTTGGCAGTAAACCGGCGAGCACAAGATCTCAATGTCTCCTAGTGGTGGCGGAGGAACGACCCTGAATCAGCGTGCTGGTGGCTTGTATCCTCCGGCCAGGGATACAGCAATGCTACCCAACCGGCGGAGATTTGAAGAACTTCAGCAAGTTTTCTGCGGCAACCCCCAAGTCTCTTCGCTGCCCTGTTCTCTCGCTATCCGTGGAAATCACCGACCGGGAACTTGCGAGACTAGTCCGTCTCAACCCCAGCCTTACCATGAAACGGGGTTGTAGAGAATGCAAGTCTGTCACGATTGGCGTACCACTAGGCAGGTTCGAATACTGATTACTCCCCTTCCAGTCTTCTTGAGTACACTGCTCCCGTAGAGGCTACAGATGGACGTTACCTTACTTCCCTGTTCAGTGTAAGATCACAGCTAATCGCATGGCTTTCTCCTGTTACGGATGGAAATGGTAAGCAACTATGTTCAAGAACACTGACCAAGCGTTCTCAAGATCAAGATCGAACTGGTGAAGGTCACCCTCTCCAAAGCAGCCGATACGAAGCAAGGTGCTCAAGTGTCTCAGGAGGAAACTCGAGACCCAACACCTTGTATATATCTCACAAACTCTCCCACGGACCCATCGCGCAACCCGACCCCCGATCCTTTTCTTCGACCTCTCCCGGCCTGCTCTCCCACCCCCGGACTCCAAGTTTAACTTTGGTGCCAAGTCTGCAGAGGTTCAAACTTTACTTTCTTTCCATCGACGCAGTTCAACTTACACGATCGTTCTTTGACTTCGTGACGAGGGCCAAGCATGGAACTCGTCGCTCAGCGAGCCGTTGAGGCTCGGTGGGCCAATGTCGAGGACCTACCGTCAACGCCTTTGCAGAAGGTGATCATGGCGATTTTGTTCTTGTTCACATTGACTGCATTCTTGACCTATGTCTTGAGAATGTACAGCAAATGGACGTCAAAACAGATCGGACTTGGTAAGTGATCCAACCTAAGCTTTTCTCGTCGAGTGTTCGTCTCATCAGATTATCAGATGACTGGTTTATGACTGGAGCCATGGTAAGACCCGGCCTCCACCGGCAGAGTGCCGATCACCACCCTTTCTCTGGATGGACGAAGAATGAGGTTGATCTGAACTGTGCTCGAGACTGGATTATATTTGTCTGTCTGATTTACCGGTTCCGTGTCATCACTGTCTTAAGATACCTTATTAAGCTAAGGGATGCTACTTAAGTATTTGTAGTAACGTAGTAGTAGTAGTAGTAGTAGTAGTAGTAGTAGTAGTAGTAGTAGTAGTAGTATTTAACATAATCAGGGACAGGAGCCTAGCTATCTAACTAACTAAGCCCGATCAACCAGAGCGCCATTTGGGCATATGATGTGCCGTGCCGCTATCTAAACAGCGTACGACAAGTCAGACAATCTATAATGTACACTTTTCTTCTCGTGCCTAGAGCAGTGGAAATTATTAGCTAATCCCTAGGGTCCGTTCAGTTCCAAAAAGCACGCCAGCAGGGGTTTCCTGACTCGGCAGAAGCGAATGGGCCTTGAGTAGCCCTACATCGTCCACAAACGACGGGCTATAACGAAAAGGCCGGCCCTCGCGGGCGTACTTAAGTATTTGATTGATATGCCTTTCTTGAGGTTTTCCGAACGACTGCTGGCCGTAATTTCCCTCATCTTCCATCTTCGGACAACCGGGAAGAAGATAAAACGCGAGGAACCACTGATGACTTCATCTTTGCCAAACTTGAGACTTTGGTGAGTCAATTGTTGCAGTGATAGCTGCAACATGCAGTGATACGAGGTCTTAGAAGAGAAAAATGTGACAACTCTTGATAGACAACCCATTTTTTGAAGCCCCACAGAGGGGAATCAGACGATTCCAAGGCATGAGCGGTGGAAACAGGACACAACCAATGCCAAATAGGGTAGGTCATAACTGAATGTTGCCACTTAGTAGATAATTGAGATTTTCCGTCCAACCTTGGCCTAAGTCGAGGCGGATATGTTGCTGTAGACGGAAAATAGCCAGCGTTCAGGTGCATAGCCGTCGGCACCAAATCCGCCAACAATTCGCTTAAATGCTTGTGGCTGGGTTGACAGTGGGACTCAGTAGCCACAAGCCAGAAGTCGGATGTTCTCGCTAGGCAACATCGAGGCTTACATTAGCTTTTGGATGAATTGACATCATTCATGACGCTGAAGGATAGTTTTCTTGGTTTGGTTCCGTTGAATTTCGTCATTTGCTTGTGGCTAGCGTCATTCAGATATTACTCGCCCAGGAACAGAAACGCCAGACTGGCCACCTCTCAGTCCCAGAGTCAGCCCTACCCCGACTTATCGACCTAGTAAGAGCTGGATCCTCAGCCTTACCTACCCTAGGGGAAGTACCTAGTCCAGCAGAGCTGGACACTCTAGCTACCCAACTAGTCAGCCTCTTCTATACAGCTATTCAAGCTGTAGGTAAGAGACGGACAAATCAGGGTAGGGGAGCCCCCTGGTGGACAGAAGAGTGTGCAGAAGCCCACCGAGCTGCTATCGAGGCTAGGCGCCAGCAGGCCCAGGAACCTGGGCTAGTTATACCTCCCCCCATCCTAGAGGAGCAAAAGATCTTCTTAACAACTGTTAGAAGGGCAAAACGCGCTTACTGGACTACTAAGATCGAAGGGGCTAAGACAGACCAAGACCTATATAAGATAGTAGGCTGGCGGAAGTCTAGCTTAGCTGTTAAAGGCCCGCCCCTTATAGTAGAAGGTCAGATATTCGACAACAGCTACGATAAAGCCCAGGCCCTACGAAAGGCCTTACTAGAGAGATTCAACGCTACAGACGACTTACCTGGGGATCCTTTTACTATCCCAGTAGTTGCACAGCGTCTAATGCCCTGGCAGGATGTGGTTAGCATGGAAGAAATACGCCATGCTACTCTGACAAAGACTACAACCCCTGGGATTGACGGGATTACTACAAATTTACTACAGCAGACCTGGGAATCAGTAGCTAGGCCTATACAGCAGCTCTTCCAGGCCTGTATTCAAGTAGGCCACTTCCCCAGACCGTTCCGCAAAGCAGAAGTTGTCATGATCCAGAAGCCAGGGAAAACAGACTTCTCGAAGACTGGGTCTTGGCGACC